TCAGGCCATTAGGAATTAGTCCATTAGAAAGCAGTCCGTTAGGAAGCAGTTCATTAGGAATCAGTCCATTAGGAAGCAGTCCATTAAGAAGCAGTCCATTAGGAATCAGTTCATTAGGAATCAGGCCATTAGGAATCAGGCCATTAGGAAGCAGTCCATTAGGAATCAGTCCATTAGGAATCAGGCCATTAGGAAGCAGGTCATTAGGAAGCAGTCCATTAGGAAGCAGTCCATTAAGAATCAGTCCATTAGGAATCAGGCCATTAGGAAGCAGGCCATTAGGAATCAGGCCATTAGGAAGCAGTCCGTTAGGAAGCAAGCCATTAGGAAGCAGTCCATTAGGAAGCAGTCCATTAGGAAGCAGGCCATTAGGAAGCAGTCCGTTAGGAAGCAAGCCATTAAGAAGCAGTCCATTAGGAATCAGTCCGTTAGGAATCAGTCCATTAGGAATCAGGCCATTAGGAAGCAGTCCATTAGGAAGCAGTCCATTAGGTAGCAGGCCATTAGGAAGCAGTCCATTAGGAAGCAGGCCATTAGGAAGCAGGCCATTAGGAAGCAGTCCATTAAGAAGCAGTCCATTAGGAAGCAGTCCATTAGAAATCAGTCCATTAGGAATCAGGCCATTAGGAAGCAGGCCATTAGGAAGCAGTCCATTAGGAAGCAGTCAATTAGGAACCAGTCCATTAGGAAGCAGTCCATTAGGAAGCAGTCCATTAGGAAGCAAGCCATAAGAAAGCAGTCCATTAGGAATCAGGCCATTAGGAAGCAAGCCATTACGAAGCAGTCCATTAGGAATCAGGCCATTAGGAAGCAGTCCATTAGGAAGCAGTCCATTAGGAAGCAGTCCATTAGGAAGCAGTCCATTAGGAAGCAGTCCATTAGGAAGCAGTCCATTAGGAAGCAGTCCATTAGGAAGCAGTCCATTAGATTAGGAAGCAGGCCATTAGGAAGCAGGCCATTAGGAAGCAGTCCATTAAGAAGCAGTCCATTAGGAAGCAGTCCATTAGAAATCAGTCCATTAGGAATCAGGCCATTAGGAAGCAGGCCATTAGGAAAGCAGGCCATAAGGATGCAGGTCATTAGGAAGCAGGCCATTAGGAAGCAGGCCAATAGGAAGCAGTCCATTAGGAATCAGGCCATTAGGAAGCAGGCCATAAGGAAGCTGGCCATTAGGAAGCAGGCCATTAGGAAGCAGGCCAATAGAAAGCAGTCCATTAGGAAGCAGTCCATTAGGAAGCAGTCCATTAGGAAGCAGGCCATTAGGAAGCAGGCCATTAGGAAGCAGGCCATTAGGAAGCAGTCCACGAGTCGCACCAGAAGCGTTATATAGATAAGAAGAGATGCTAACTGACAAAACACGTGTAGCTTGTCTGCAGCAAGGAGGGACTGCAACACATTTGTTGGCGCTTTCATTTCATAGCATATTACATTGTTATAAGTTTGTTAGCATGTAGGGTGCATTCATTTCATAGCATATTACATTTTAATAAGTTTGTTAGCATGTAGGGTGCATTCATTTCATAGGATATTACTGCAAATAATTGAATGTTGTCGTTTTCGAATTCCAAAAAAATGAATTTCATTTTTTTTTTTTTAAATCCTTTAAATCAGGATTATTTTCATTGAATTCCCAATTACACCCAGCGGTGTAGCCAACATTTGTGACACCCAGGGTGGTCGCTGGCTTTGCCGCCCCTAATTCGCGAAAACCATAAAAATTACAGAACACATCAAAACAAAAACCTTATGTAGTTAATGAAAATGAGCTTTAGAAATGCCGCTCCAAAAAAGGGTGGCATACCCCTACACAGCTCCTCTCCCAGTGCATCCAACCCCAACCCCCAGACACGCACTCCATGTTATTCATATCTTGTCTCGTCCCTTGACTGCCCTTCCCCGTTATGAGAGCCCTTGATTCACCCTGACAAGACTTTGCGAGACCCGTCAATGTGAGAATTATCTCCCCACTTCCAACCATTAGAAAAGATAAGTGTTACTTTATAGCTTCCTGTGTGGAAAGGGGCAAAACAAAATAACACCAAAAAAAAAAAAAGTTGTATTATCCCCCCCCCCTTCAATGTGAGAATTATCTCCCCACTTCCAACCATTAGAAAAGATAAGTGTTACTTTATAGCTTCCTGTGTGGAAAGGGGCAAAACAAAATAACACCAAAACAAAAAAAAGTTGTATTATCCCCCCCCCCTTTCACACTCGACTAGCACAGATTGTCACAGTACTCGCGACGTTTCTAGATGGCCAATAATGCTATAGCGCGGTAATGAATGTTTGACTGATCAGACTGAAAGGATAGGTCTGGAACCATTGATGCCCTTGTGACAGTTTTTTTGGTTTGGATTTGTTAGAGATAGCGTGACACGGGGGGAATGGCGCACGGAAAGGAACAAAAAAATTATTGGCGTTCATTCTCTTGGGGACCCGCTCTGATAGTTCCAAATCACACTGCTCGGATTTGTTGATTTTAAATGGCTTGCACTGGCTAGCTACGCATGGTGTGCTGCAGTTATTTTGACGTACTCTCCAACCGTCATTGGTGTGCGGGGGAACATTCGAAAATGTGTTCTTAGTTATTACACAATTATTTATTTATTTGTTTTGTTTTCTTTCAATTCCTTAATGATATTGATTGGTTGTTTTTTTTTTTTAAATCAATGCTTTAAAGTGTAAAAAAAAGTGTTGTTTTTTTTAAGATTCCGGAGAATCTAGAACCTGTCACTTAAAGTGTTGCTCAAAAGCATATCTAAATTTGTTACTAAAATGTTAATTAAATTGATGCGTAAAAAAAAATTATTCATTTCAGAGGAGTGTCGAATTCTTGGCAGACAGGACTTTCATTTCTTTTCGGGAAATATTTTTTTTTGTGTACAATGGAGTCAATGTGGAAGAATATGAAGTAAGGACACCTTTAGATTCACGGCTAGACTATTCATTTGTAAAAAATTAATGGATGTAATGTAGGAAGGATGACTTTAGATTTGACATTATTCCTTACTAAACTCTTGTTGTTGTTTTTTAAACTTTACAAATCTCCAGCTGATTTCACTGTTTTTGTTTATGTGTTTCGTCAAAGCATGCGCATTGATGTTTAGCTAATTTGCATACTACAAACCTGTTGTCACGGTAACGCGATGCCAACATATTGTCAGATGGGTTTGATTTCGTAAGAGTTAAAACAAGGATTTCATTGAATGGCCACGTTAATTATTTTTTTAAAAAAAGAAAAATGCTCTACTTGGAATTATTATAGGTTATATTAACTGAAATATGTTGTACATACGAGATGTGTTGTACATCTGAGATATGTTGTACATCTGAAAAGTTGTACATCTGACATATGTTGTACATCTGAGATGTTTTGTACATCCAAGATATTTTGTATAACTGAGATATGTTGTACAATATTTGAGACATGGTGTACAGCTGAGATATATTGTACATTATTTAAGACATGCTGTACATCTTCTTCTTATTATATTTGAGGGGCCCACGATCAATTTGTTGATCATTCTGACTCCTAGTTTAGATTCAGAGTTTGTTGGCTTTGATGGGGGTTGAACTCCAGACCAACAGCTATTTGGTTTGAGACAGTTTAGACCGCTCGGCCACCCGGCACCAAACATCTTAGACATGTTATACATCTTTGACATGTTGTACATCTTAGACCTGTTGTACATCTTAGATCTGTTGTACATCTTTGACATGTTGTACATCTTAGACATGTTGTACATCATAGACATGTTGTACATCTTTGACATGTTGTACATCTTAGACAGTTTGTACATCTTTGACGTGTTTTACATTATCTGAAATATGGTGAGAACTATGTTGAATTCGTTCTACTTTTATCTCATCAATGATGCACAAATAATTTGTGTAAATAAAACAGGGCATGTTAGCTTTATTAAGATTACATACACATTGCAACATTTCGGCCGATGGCTTCATTGGTACAATATAATAAAAATAACATTGATGTAAATTAAATTTTCATATTACAAATTTAAAAAACTATCTATAACTATTAAAAGCTTTATCGCAGTCCTACCCTATTATATATACATTTTTTTTAAAAAATTGCATTATCTTACATGTGTGGCAGTGTATGCCCCAACCCACTATTTGACCCGTTACGTAAACCATGTCTGGCGCCCAACTCAAGGCCGCGCGGTGTGTAGTAGCACTGGCGCGGTGCGTAACAGGTATCCCTTTTCACCTTCCACAGTGTATGCCCCAACCCACTATTTGACCCGTTACGTAAACCATGTCTGGCGCCCAACTCAAGGCCGCGCGGTGTGTAGTAGCACTGGCGCGGTGCGTAACAGGTATCCCTTTTCACCTTCCCCCCCCTCCCCCCGGACGGTCACTATACGACCGGCGCATAGGGAGGAAATAATAAAATACCACGATGTGCGCATTGGTTAGGAATTCAATAATTTATTTATCAGGAACCCTAGCGTATTAAGTTATACATTACATCTAGTTAAGACGGGGATTTTATTCACTATACCTTAGCATATTTACAAGTTTCCATCGTTGGAGGATATTTTAATATTTAGTCATTAAAGGAGTTTTCGCCTTCATTTATAGTGGTCTCCACCCCTTCTAGTTGAGATATCTCAAAAACTATTTAAGTCATAAAAATATAAAATAGCATCTTAGATAGCTAAGACAAAACTGCACAGATTACATATAAGTCGTTAGGGATGTGGATAAAGAGTTTAATTATTACTCGGGATTAGTCCCCAGAATTAGTCATTTTATCCCAGGAAACTGGCCAGAAGGCAAAACTTAGACCGACTCGGTTTAGGTGTGACGTAGGGGCTCTCTGATATGTCCGCGCACGGTTTTAAAAAGGGGAGCACACGAGGTAGGGGTCATTTCGAGCTTTGGTCAGCATACCTACAGTGTGCCTTTGTTCAGTGCGGCCCATTGGAACGCTCTATATTGTCCTTTTTTTCTTTTTCTTTTTCTTTCTCTTTTTCTTTCCCTTTTTCTTCCCCATAGTTCATAGGGTCCTGTTTCTTGTTTTCATCATAGTAGAGCATTAATTAAAAAGCTATAGTCCTCAAGACCTGATTGTTTTATTTGGGATTTCATTTAAACTGTAAGCCACGTCATCCACTCGGCTACACATGTTTTTGTGTTCTGTCACATATTTGATGTGTTTTATTTATGTCTGTTAAATGCACTGTCACAGATCTGCTGTCAGGTATCTGAGATCAGCTGTCGATCATATAAGGTCTGATATTTATCATATGAAATTTGATGATTATACAATGAGGTCCAATGTGGAACATGTGAGAGCTGCTGTGACCTGCAACAACTTTTTTTTTTCAAATAATGGAACCCAAATCTATACTAAAAGTGGAAAAAAAAATCTTTCACATCGATTTAGTTTTTATTTAAATTTAAAGGTTATTGGCGCGACGATACAAATGGTATCGATCGACGAATATCGTGATTAAAACGCATGCGAGTCACAGCTCCATCCATAACGGATCAGACGCCTTCCTGATTTTTTCAGTAGTTATCTTCATTGATTAAATACCGAGTTACACTAGTGTCCAAGACAATACTCAGTGGGCCTCAGATGGCTACTCCCTGGGTGCTTGTGTTAACTAAAGAGTGTAAAGGCAGATTGACTGAAGGTTGTAAAGACAGATTGACTGCAGATTGTTATGGCAGCTTGACTCAAGATTTAAACGGCAGATTGACTGAAGATTGTAAGAAGATTGTCTGAAGAGTGTAACGACAGATTGACTGAAGATTGTACGAAGAGTGTCTTAAGATTGTAACGATATATTGAGTGAAGGCAGTAAGAAGATTGTCTTAAGATTGTAACGACAGATTGAGTGAAGGCTGTAAGAAGATTGTCTTAAGATTGTAACGACAGATTGAGTGAAGGCTGTAAGAAGATTGTCTTAAGATTGTAACGACTGATTGAGTGAAGGCTGTAAGGAGATTGTCTTAAAATTGTAACGACTGATTGAGTGAAGGCTGTAAGAAGATTTTCTCAAGATTGTAACGACAGATTGGCTTAAGATTGAAAAAAAAAAACAGAGGGTATGAATTTTTTGTCATTATTTGATTATCCAAAATTGTATATCGATATTCTGCTTAAATTTCATGCGCCACTAGCTTCTCATTATGCTGATTACTTTTGCGATTCTATTTACTTCTCTAAAGTACTTGTCCATATTGCGTCTCTATTCAATTCGCTAAAATTATGAGGAAAAATATTTGTGTATGTAAATTATAATTTTTTAAAGTCCTGTCACATGTTTTCGGTTGCCATTTTTTGTATGTTGTTAATGTGTGGGGTGTTGTGTTGAGGACTGTAATGCTTTCTTGGGGAGTGAGATGTTGTGTCAGGGAGTGATATGTTGTGTTAGGGAGATGCTGTGTTATGGGAGTGATATGCTATGTTAGGGAGTGAGATGCTGTGTTGGGGAGTGAGATGTTGTGTTAGGGAGTGAGATGTTGTGTTAAAGGAGTGAGATTTTGTGTTAGGGAGTGAGATGTTGTGTTAAAGGAGTGAGATTTTGTGTTAGGGAGGGAGATGTTGTGTTAGGGAATGAGATTTTGTGTTAGGGAGTGAGATGTTGTGTTAAGGAGTGTGATGTTGTGTTAAAGAGTTAGCGTTGCTTTGGGGAATGATGTGCTATGTTTGGGAGTAAGGAAATGTGTTGGGGAGTGAGTTTTTGTGAAAGGGATTGAGATGTTGTGTAAGGGAGTGATGAGTTATGTTGATGTGTGAGCAGTAGTGTTGCGGAGAGACGTGTTGTGTTGAAGAGTGTGATGTTGTGTGAAAGAAGATGTTGTGTTGGGGAGTGAAATGTTGTTTTGGTGGGGGGGGTGAGATTTTGTGTTTGGGAGTGATATGTGTTGGGGAGTGAGGTGCTATGTTTGGGAGTGATATTTGTTGGGGAGTGAGATGTCGTGTTTGGGAGTGATATGTGTTGGGGAGTGAGATGCTGTGTTTGGGAGTGACATGAGTTGGGGAGTGAGGTGTTGTGTTTGGGAGTGATATGTGTTGGGGAGTGAGGTGTTGTGTTTGGGAGTGATATGTGTTGGGGAGTGAGGTATGTGGGTTTGATTGAAACGTACATTTCTTTAAGCTCTGTAGAATACACTGAAGGCGACAAGGCATTTAGCTAATGGGTAAATGTTGGAAAGTCTCATCTCAATCATGGGTTGGCTGAACAAAGGGGTGGAAAGTGTTCAGTTCAAAAATGATGAAAAAAAAAATATTATTTTGTTTATGAGTCAAAATCTGTAACTTTGACCTCCTTAATCTGCTTTATTATTTACTGATAAAAAAAGTGTACCAAACGAATGTATGTTTACTTTTAGTTTGGGGGTGTTTTACTGATATGCATGTTGGGGATTCTATACTCACTTTGCTTAAGTTTAGTTCTTCTTCTTCTTCTTCTATATATTAAGGGCCCAGGATCAATTTATTGATCATTCTGGCTCCTATGTATGTATAGGGAATTTTCAATATTTCTGCGCTTGGTATTGAAGAGGATATTTCACTGGTTGCCAGGGTTACTCAGCAATGGCATTATGATCTGGGGGTTGGAAGGCCTGAGGCAATAGACGCAAATTTTTTAAATGTTGTCGCCTCAACTATTCCTTTTGGAAGCTTGTTCCAGTCCCTGGTTATCTTTGGTAGGAATGAGCAGCTCCTGTACTGTATTCTTGCTGTTATGAGCCGGAACTGCCTGTCATGGCCTCGTCACTGTCTTAAAAGGGAGGGGGGGGCGAGTTTCTGTCCGTTATTTATCTTGTACATCATGGAGAGCCTGGATAACCTTGTTCATCCAACCATTTATGACCAACCCAGTGTTTCCAGTGTGCTGCCAACACTAGAGGTGTTTCTTGCAGCGGTTCAAAACAAAGCGTGCTGCCCGTCGCTGGACCGCCTCCAACCTTTCAATTCTCTTCAGTTTGAATGGGTCCCATACTGAGGATGCACACTCTAAAATCGGCCGGACAAAGGCTTTAGAGTTTGATATTATTTGAATATGACGACTACTTTATATGGTCATTCTAAATGCCCGCCTAAATAATTTATTATTCTTCTGTAGGTTATCCTTACTAATCACATTTTGTTAGCAGATGTGCAAAAGGGCATGAACGCACAAGATTTTTTGTTTTTAATGCCTATAAAAACACGCATTTTTACTCTGCACCAAGTCTTAAGCAGAGTCTAAAGTAGACTTATGGTACTAAGAGAATGTTATCAAGAAACCCTCAAAGGAACTTATTATAACAAAGTAAACATTTGAAAGCTCATTAATGATACAAAGATATTAATAATTTATCACTAATTTAATTTAATTTAAATTTAATTTAAATTAATTTGCATTTCGAAAAGAAAATCTACCAACGTAGAGAACACGAATTAATTATAATCACAACAGGAAGTAACTAGGAAATTACATATGCGTTGTCAAGGCAGGTGAAAAATAAAAATCAATGCGCATATTTTAAAAATAAAAATTGATATTAAAATAAATACATATGTGTTTGGATATTTATAATTTGTAAATATTATTTTATATAATTTTAAAATATTTTTCGTTTGTAATTGTGTGATTTATTTGATTACGTAAGGACTATTTTGCGTAGTGCAATTACCCAGTTTCAAACTACCGCACAATATTCTGCAAGCTGTTTACAAATGGCGTAAACGCTTTTAAATAAATCTAAATTTTTGGAGCGTTTCATATAGTTTAGGAAAATTATTTTACCTTAAGGTAAATATATTTAACTAAGAAATTCAAAAGCCGATTCAGAACTATCTAGTAATGTACTAATTAACTTGATGCTGAGATTGTTATGTTATTATTGGCTTTTTTTTTTTTAAAGTCAAATTATAATTAAGTAGGCTAGTGGTCCATCTCTAATAATACTAATGCTCAGTTCACACGATCAAATTTGCGTCAAATTTTTGCATGAACGCACTATTTTTTGCGTTTTTTATTTGTTGTTTTTTTTTTGACAAAAAAGAGAAGGCCGGCACTACGTACACCGCGGCGGTTTACCTAGCGAAACTATTGACTTTGGCCTGCGTACACCGCGGCGGTGTACCTAGCTAAATCATGGTCTGTGGCCTGCGTACACCGCAGCGATTTACAGTAGCCAAACTATGGTCTTTGCGAGTCTTTAACTTTTTGGCCTAACCGGTACTTGTAGATTTAATGTTATACTCGTGTTAAAACTGAAAACTATTAAAAATTTGTTTATTACCTTGGGAAGATATTGAGTAAGGTCCACACGTATGTGGCAAAGTGCATGTAAAGCATTTCTTATTATTTTTGGAAGGGAAGGGGCTGGGGGAGGGGGGTAATGTTAAACAATGATTTATTTTTAAAGTTAACCACTTTATTCCCCCCTCCCCCAATATCTTTAAATATATTTATTAATTGTAAGTTTTATCATATGATTGTGAATCTTAATTTGAAATTATTCTCTCATGCCCACCCCCACCCAGTTGTTAGTTGTTTTGTTTTGGGTTTGTTTTTTTTTTTGTTTTTTTTGGGGGGGGGGTGCCTTATAAATATAACATTGTATGTGATCCCTCGGGGCATGGTGTAAAAATGAATGGGAAGACAGTGTATCTATTTTGTTAGCACCATGATATAATTACGCCACAAATACACTACGGGAAGAGAATCACATACTCATACATTGATCATGAAGTCGTGAAGTTAAAGTAGTCCGAGGCATTGTCATTGTGACACCAAGCATGTGTCAACACAAAACAGCAGTAAGATGATCAATACGAAACACTGCAGTTATTTGAAAGTCTTTTAACAATAATTAAAAATCATTGATTTAGTTTTACATTGGCATTACACATTAGTAAAAAAAATGCAGGCAGAGGGAGGGGGGATGCAAAAGGTAAGTTGGTTGTGCGGACGTCCTTTGTGGACAACCCCTATCCTGAGCCGTGATTTGTGAATGCCCTCTTTTTGGTTAAGCCTCTGCCCATAACTCACCACCACCCCCCACTCCCCGGCAAGGATCGATTTCTTAAAAAAAAAAAAAACAACAACAAATACAAAAACTTTGACATAGTGCAAATCCTGTCCCAAGCGCATTGTGCAATGGTTTCTGTGAGAAAACGTCGTGTTTTACCCTGAGAATAGCACATGCCATGCCATTCTGGAAACAAATTATGTCATGAAAAGGGTAAACGCAGACCTATGGCTTTGCTATACAGTTTGCTACCGCTCCGCAAGTTTCTAAAATCGAGGTGTTTTCAAAAGATTTGCTGTGAGACTGAGTGTTGTGAATGAACCTTTGATATCGTATGTACATTTTGCCAATGCATAAGGCATAGTGAAAGCAAGATGGTTCAAGGTTGAAATACGACCATGCACATTAATATTCATATGCATGAATATTATTCATACTGGTATTTTCTTTGGTTGTTCGTAAAAGTAAAATGTAAATATTCAACTATACGAAGAATGTTGAAATACAATAGAATATCAGTCACTTAGTATTCATAATGTTTCTGTTATACATGATCATCATGTATTACATGCGCTTTCAGAAACTTTAAGTTTGTTTTCAAATGTCTAAAGTCTTATTACTAAAGTTACCGGTATTTTCAAAGTCAAAGGCCGGCACAACTTGTTGAAACACTTATATATATAAATAAATATATAAAGTGTATTTAATATAATATTTAAACATATATTTAAATGGTTTCAATTGCTACAAAATACTTTAAAACTAAAATGGGAGGAAAAAAAACTCGATCCCCTACTGGAATTTGATCTCAAACTATATTATCACCAAGCGTCCACTCTACCACTTGACCACACAAGATCCTCTCCAAAAAGTATATCTTAAAACCAGGCCAATGGTAAATTTTTGCCGCGGTGTACCCAGGCCAAAGCCCACGATTTCACTAGGTACACCGCCGCGGTTTACGCAGGCCAAAGCCGATGGTTTCGCTAGGTACACCGCCGCGGTGTACGCATCCACTTCGAAAAGAGAATTTGATCAAATAATAGTGACCTGGGAGTTATGACAAGGCTTCATACAAATATCGCTTCAACTTCAATTTTTTTTTGTTAACGCAAATTTGGGTAAATTTGGAGAGATAGCACCGTGGCCGCCATCTTGGTTGCCGCGAACTTATGTCCTAAATGTATTCCTAAACCTAACCTGAAATCTAAATCAAAATATATCCCTAAACCTAACCTGAACCCTAAACTTATCCCTAACCTGGGGTTTGACCCTATCAGAACCAGTGTTACAGTTTTGACCCTATCGGAACCAGGGACAAACATGCAAATGACGTCAGGGTGCTATCCCTCCAAATTAGCCGAAATTTGATCATGTGAACAGAGCATGGCATAACTCTAAATTCATTTTTTTTTTTAAACTTTTACTATATTGTATTATAATAAATATTAGTTATATATATCTATATTATATACTCTTAGTATTTGAGATTAGAGGCTCTAATGACTAAAGTAATACCTGGTATAGGTAACCCATGTCCCCCCCTTGACCTGGCAAAAAATACCATGGCCATCCATTAATTTGTATCCATAAAATAAAATATTGCAACACATTAATTATTATTAGATTAGTTGCCATTCACCTTCTGTAATTTTTATTTTTGTGTATATTACTATATTATTTGTTTGTAGGATAGTCAACATTAATGAGTGACAATCCAATATTTAACAGTAGACACTGCTTGGATGTTGATAATAATTATTATGTTTCATTTTTTTTAAATTTGTAGATCTTTATGATGACTTTAAGTTTATGTGCTACATGTTTTTAAAAATTAATTTTAGAATAAGATATTTTAAATCTGCGGCACATTTCAAAATTCTAGAGTAATCAAGTGAGGTTATTTTGATATTTTAGCCAATATTGGGAATACCAGGTGCTGCAAAAATTATTTTAAATAATATATTATAAATTTGGAGATGTATACCAATTTATTGAATACAGATAGTCGTAATAATAATATTTATTTTATTTTCATAGCTCTTTTCATTATTGTTTCACCAGTGCTGTTCAAAAAGTCAGAATGGGTAAGAAAGTTGAGAAGGCATTTTCCAAAGACAGGCATTTGTCATCAGCATCGCACGTGAATGAGGATTCAAATAGTAAAACACCAGGTAAGGTTTTTTTTTATAATAGTAAAAACCAGGTACATTTTTAAAATAAAAAGAACTTTGCAGTTGAGAACATAACACATTTTTGTATTCAATATATATTATTTAAAATATATTATTTGTCTTTACGTGATGGTCCTTTCCAATTTGACTTTATTAAATACAATTTCTTTCCTTATCACGGACATCAGCTACAGTATCATAGATACTGCTTCTTTGGAGACTAATATATTGAAATAATTTTTCATAATCTACCTTTACAATTCTTTAAAATATCTCCTGAAATTTGTTCATTAAAAAAATTGTATTATAAACATACAATGAGGCCAATGCTTTACGGCTTTAATTTTATTGTTTGGTTTAAAAATATAAATAACTGCTACAAGTGAGTAGTAGAAAATTATGACTAATGTATTAACTATCAAAAACTGTTAAAAATGTTATCAAGATAATTCATTTTGAATGAACAAAACGAAATGTAGATGCATTCATAAGTAATTCGTTTTTTGTGAATTTATAAAACAGAGGTAATGTGTAAAATTATTACAATATTATATTGCCACGAATTTTGTAAAAAGGTTTTTTAATATAACTGCAAATATAAATGAAGCCATAGCACATTTCAAGCCCCACTGCCACTCATAACAGGACATTGGGTTGTTCCTTAGTTGGGTGACAAGTCATATTTCCCTAAGGAAGCTGGCACGACTGAAGTTTTTCAAAAACCCCCCCCCCCCCACACACACACAATGACTAACCACGGTGGTTGTCAAGGGGATGATTCTGTCACAACACACCTGTCGGCATAACAATGTGCAGAAACCAGCAAATAAAACTCAGTGTTCCCATGGAATGCAATTGTTCTACTATGAGGACTGACCAGGAAATTTTTCTGCTGCTAGGACTGACCAGGCAATTTTTCTACTACTTGGACTGACCTGGGAATTGTTCTACTACAAGGACTGATGAGGCAATTGTTCTACTACAAGGACCAGTGCTGGCATTTAGAGTTTAGGCAAAGCAGGCAACTGCCTCAAGCGCCAAATTTTAGGGGCATCATTTTGATCCCAAACAAGACATGTCATACTATTGTGAAATTTTTTTTGATAGATGTGTTCCTTAGATTGTGCAGGGTGGAAGAAATGCATTTGGGCCAAGGGAATTGTCTGGATCCAGAGACCTGGGTAGTTTTTTAAAAGTTTTTGGGATGTGAAAGGTTTAATGAGATGGTTCATGTTGCTTATGTTCTGTATGGAATTCACAAAGACGCAACTTACACATCATTAATCAGAAGATGGCTGAATCACAGTGTGACCCTTCGCAAGGACATACAGACTAATGCTGATCACCTATTCAGACATGTGTCTGTTCTTACAAAATGGATCTGGCCCTGGATGTCAATTTTCTGAGGCTGCTCTCAAAGGTTTTTATGTTACCAACTTGACGCCCCATGAGAAATATACCACTGAAATATACCTCTGCTAGTTGTTTAGTAACTGAATCAACTGCAAGCTGAATGGTCAGAATTTTTCTTGTCAGAGTTTAAAGGCTACCCCTTTTCAATAAAGCCTGTTTAAATTCAAACAGATTTTTTTAATGTTCTATATAAAATCTAAATAGTGTCTAGTTTTAGTTTTATTTGTGTTAATATGACTGTTATTTAAGAACTTTTATATTCTGTTCTCTCCAGCAGTTCATTTTCAATTATCAACAGTTAATTTCAACTGGAACATTTTTAGGAGATTGGGGGGCCAAAATTTTTAACTGGCTGAGGGGTTAAATGTCCTGCATTGACTAAGACTTATCTACTGCCCTCTTCATCTTTGTTTTCAATGAGTTCTATAAGTTCTAAACTAGAACTAAGTTCATTATCGCTGTATAAAATAAACACAAATACTTTTTATGTTAATTTACTTGAAGCTGATAAGTATTCTACTTAAATACATGTTTTTAAATGCTTCTTCTTTTTTTAATAATGTCTCTGAGCTTTTTCCCAGCCTCTGCCATAATCCTATTACACTCTCCACTCTTTGCCTTTTCCTTCGCCTCTGCCATAATCATAATATACTCTCCACTCTGTGCATTTCCCCAGCCTCTGTCATAATCCTACTACACTCTCTGCTTTTCCTTAGCCCCTGCCATAATCCTACTACAATCTCCACTCTGAGCCTTTCCCCGGTCTCTGCCATAATCCTACTACACTCTCCACTCTGTGCCTTTCCCCATCCTCTGTTATAATCCTACTACACTTTCAAGTATTAGCACAAAAAAGTTTTTCATACCAACTTTTGTAGTTCTTGTAAATGCGTTAAACTGTTTGTACTGTACAAGTAACCTCTCACTCCTCTATGAATTTATTTCTTTTGACGATCCAATTTAGTAGAACCAGAGATTGTTGAGCCATGGCGTAAGTAATTGAAAAAAGTTTGATGTTACAAAACTATGTGTTATAGGTGACCTCTTTTCATTCCAATTATTTCTTGTTTTGTTTCTTCAATTTGATTTGTAATTTTTATAAACTGCTTATTTTATGTACTATTTGTTCCCTGTACTACTTGCATTATGCTCTATTTCTTTATATTACAAGCTTATACATTGTGCTTCACCACAGGTTTTCAGGATGTTATTGAACTAATTTGGAGAAGTTATAGAGGATATTACATGGTGGACTGCTTCAATCAGTGTGAAGTCAATAAATAGTGGACAAGATATGTTTAGGCTTGAAAAAAAGGGGCGTTTCAGTTAAATGCCTTCTTCACAAGACAATAAAAAAAAACAAGAAATAACACTTTTTTCAATTTAAAAAACTTAATTGTTTTCAGATTACAATGTAGCTTTCTGTCTCTGTGTGGTAACCAAATTATCTACCGGTGCTATTTAATTAAATTGACCTTTTCGTTTTATGTACTTTTTGTTGCACATCATTTTTATTTTGATTATTTTTTTATATGCTTAGACCACACCTCTGTTCTTTTTTTTTTATTGTTAAATTTTAAAGTTTGTCTTTTTTTTTATATGTACATAAACATTTGTCCATATGCAATATTTGTAACCTGTTAATGATTTAGAGTGGCCCCAATCATTTATGTCATTTAAATTTTCTTTTAAGCCATGCAAACATCCTGAGCCAAACTGGTATTTTCTAGGAAGGTTTGCACACCTGACTGCTCTCTCTCTATTTTTTGTTATTATTTTGATAACTTTATTTAATTACATTAATTTTTAAAAATTTCTGTCTTCGATAATCTAATTTATGCTTGTTTTTTTTTTAAATTCATTTATGCTTTAAATGTTTTCATTTTTAAGAAATTAATTAGTTGTCAGCAAAAAATCTCTTAAGTCGCTTCAAAGCCTCAGTATTAATTCTTCCCTACTCAGTTATTTTGTCAATTGTCATGCATTTATCTCCTTATATTTATATTTCTAAATAAGCTATCATTACCTTATTTTTTTATATAGTGTTTAACCATAGAGTTAACTATAGAACCATATTGAAATTAATGTGACATGGATTAAAAAAGCGAATTAAAGTTTAAGATGATGAGCCATATTAAAATATTGTTAAAAGATGTGTGCTTTCCCTTACAGAGCCCCACAAATGCCTTGGGAATTTTCAGTTGGATTTCACAGAGCTTTGCAAACAAAATGCAATGGCTGTCATTCCAAACATTGTTACTCGACCAAAGGTGCCAACAGGTCAGTCCAGTGCAGTTGATTTGAAACCTACCAAAAAAGAGGACAAACGGCTGACCCTTCTCCAGGTTCATGAGCCTGATCCTGACCCGGAGTTAAACCAAGACGGAGGTCTGTAATGACATTTTATTCCAGCTCTGCGTACTCTTGTACTCATGGTAGCAGCCATGTCACATTGGTAACAGCCATGTAATGGGTTGCAGCCATGTAATGGGTAACAGCCATATCTTTGATAACAACCATATTATGGGTAACAGCCATATCCTTGGTAACAACCATATAATGGGTAACAGCCAAATCCTTGGTAGCAGCCATATAATGGGTAACAGCTATATCCTTGGTAAAACCATATAATGGGTAACAGCCATATCCTTGGTAACAATCATGTAATGGGTTACAGCCATATCCTTGGTAACAGCCATATCGTTGGTAACAGCCATATCCTTGGTAACAGCCATATCCTTGGTAACAACCATATAATGGGTAACAGCCATACCAAGGACAACCATATAATGGGTTACAGCCCTATCATTGGTAGCAGCCATGTAATGGGTAACAGCAATGAAATGAGTAACAGCCTTTTCATTGGCATCAGCCATGTCATTGGTAACAGCCACTTCACTGGTAACCGTCATCATGTCAGTGCTAGCAGTCCTATAAGAACAGAATCTTTATATCGGATATGACTCTTTTAAACTCTTTTCTCTGTAGTCCCTGGCTATGTGTCCATGATAGACTTATGTCTCCATGATAGCTTTATGTTTCCATGATAGGCTTATGTTTCCATCATAGGTTTATGTTTCCATGATAGGCTTATGTTTCCATGATAGGCTTATGTTTCCATGATAGACTTATGTTTCCATCATAGGTTTATGTTTCCATCATAGGCTTATGTTTCCATCATAGGCTTATGTCTCCATGATATGTTTATGTTTCCATGATAGGCTTATGTTTCCATGATATGCTTATGTCTCCATGATAGGTTTATGTTTCCATCATAGGCTTATGTTCCCATCATAGGCTTATGTTTCCATCATAGGTTTATGTTTCCATGATAGGTTTATGTTTCCATCATAGGCTTATGTTTCCATCATAGGCTTATGTTTCCATCATAGGTTTATGTTTCCATGATAGGTTTATGTTTCCATCATAGGCTTATGTTTCCATCATAGGCTTATGTTTCCATCATAGGTTTATGTTTCCATGATAGGCTTATGTCCCCATGATAGGTTTATGTTTCCATGATAGGCCTATGCTTCCATGATAGGCTTATCAACTATTTTTTGTCAAGTTATTTGGGATATAAGTTTTTGTCAAACTTTCTTGTGTTTTGTATTGTTACGTTTAGGTAGGAATTCATTAAACTAAAACATTCCTTTTATTGTCATGGTTTGGATTTGTTTGTTATGAGAAGCCATTCGTGTTGTGCCATAATGTTTTTTTTGTCAGTGAGTTTATCTCAACCTGTTAAAAAAAATGGAAAAGAGGTAGGTGAAGGTTAAGCGACTGTTTGTCTTTTTTTAGAATGGGTTGGAGCTTATTTTTTTCTATTGCACTCAGTCTTAGTACAGTAGAGATATATTCACTTGACAGATTGTGAAGTAATTTCTGAATTATCTGACTGTAAATAATGAAAGATTTAATTTTTGTAAAACTTTTTTTTTATATTTACTTGTTTTAAGTTGAAAATGGTAAGGGTCTAACCAATGTTTCATTTTTTTATCATCATAATTTTCCGCTCGTCCAGAACCAATTGATGTGCCACCAAAAACATTCACAACTCGACCCAAATTTGAGTACTTCAAACCTGCGGTACAGGTAGAGCTTGACAATAATGATAAGTGGGACACGGTCACCGAAGTGTTTGTCAGAGGTCAGTAACATCCCTGCACAATTTTGATTGATGTTTTTTTTTGTTTTTTTGCCAAGCAAACTATTGGATGCAAAATTAATTCACCTTATAACTAGCCAAGTAAATTGTTAGAGACATAAATAATTCACCTTATAAATACCCAAGTAAATTGTTGGAGACGTAATTAATTCATCTTATAACTAGCCAAGTAAATTGTTAGAGACATAATTAATTCACCTTATAACTAGCCAAGTAAATTATTGGAGACAAAATTAATGAGCTCTATCACTAGCCAAAGGTATGACATTTAATCTATCTTCCATAATCTACATTTAAAACTGTCTACTTTTAAAACTTTCTATTTCTGAAGGCTGGAAGATTGATTCTGCAATGATGGAAATATTTCGTCAGTGTTTGACAACTTTAGAACGCCTTCACTCAATCAAGTACAACCTTCCTTTCTAATTAAAGAACTATTAGATGGGAACTAAAGGGGTTAATTAGCATTTAGCTACTCAGCTTAAGTTTGGCTTTTTTTTTTTTTAAACTGATTTTCTCCCACCATTCACATTTCACCATCATCACTAGTCACATTTCACAATTGTCACTAGTTACATTTAACCATTGCCACTTGTCATATTTCACCATTGTCACTCTTCACATTTCATCATTGTTTCTAGTCACATTTCAGCATCATCACTATTCACAACTCACCATTGTCGCTAGTCACATTTCATCACTGACACATTTCATGTGCTGTTTCCTAGTTTGTGGAACACAGGACTCACTGAGGAAACTGTTCACACATTAGCCACATTTCTACCCCAGTGTGTTAACTTAAGGTAGGTAGCCACATTTCTACCCCAGTGTGTTGACTTAAGGTAGGTAGCCACATTTCTACCCCAGTGTGTTAAATTAAGGTAGGTAAGTGCCCTAGTGTTGTGGTGGTAAGTTATTTCCACTGAAAAATATCAGTTTTAATCATATGAAGATTTAAAAAACTCACTTAGAATGTTTGAACATTTACACATCCCTATCAGTTCATAAATGTAATCTATTGAATATATTCTCATTACATTTCCACATCCCTGTTAGTTCATAAATGTAATCTTTTGAACATTTTCTCATACATTTCCAATTTCCACATCCCTGTCAGTTCATATGTGTAATCTATTGAACATTTTCTCATTACATTTCCACATCCCTGTTAGTTCATAAATGTAATCTTTTGAACATTTTCTCATACATTTCCACATCCCTGTCAGTTCATATGTGTAATCTATTGAACATTTTCTCATTACATTTCTTCATCCCTATCACTTCAAATATGTAATATATTGAACATTTTCTCATGAAATTTGCACACCCCTGTCAGTTCACCTATGTAATCTATTGAACATTTAGGAATGTTACTCTTGATGGCAACACAGTCAAGGAAGAGAACTGGTCTGAACTCATAGGTGAAGAAAGTTTGTGAGTATTTGCTCTTGTTGAATCTAAAATTAATTATTGCCGAGCAGAGTTAACCTTATCCTTAAACATTGATTGATTCCATCTGTTAATTAAGCTTTACAATTAATATTTTAAATTACCCTCTTCCCCATTTTTAACCAAACACTAAAAAGTTGCTTTTATGTTTTTACTGCTTCTACACTCTTTTGAATATATCAAAGGAAAATAATTTAATTTAGACTGTGTAGAATCTAACAATCTCTAACCTTGAGTTTAAACTGTGTAGAAACAAACAATCTGTAACCTTCAGTTTAGACTGTGTAGAGGCAAACAATCTGTAACCTTCAGTTTAGACTGTGTAGAGGCAAACAATCTGTAACCTTCAGTTTAGACTGTGTAGAGGCAAACAATCTGTAACCTTCAGTTTAGACTGTGTAGACGCTAACAATCTGCAACCTTGAGTTTAGACTGTGTAGAAAATAACAATCTATAACCATCTTTTTCAGAATTCAGAACTTGTCTCTACGCCACTGTAAGATAACTGATAAAGGAGCCGCATCCATAGGCAGGGCTTTAGGGACAGCCAAGTTGGCCAACACAAAACTGCTGTCACTTAACCTGACAGGGAACTTCATTGGGGATGTGGGAGCCACGGCTCTGGCACAGGTTAGTTAGATATGGGATGTGGGAGCCACAGCCCTGGCGCAGGTTAGTTAGATATGGGATGTGGGAGCCACGGCCCTGGCTTGGGTTAGTTAGATATGGGATGTGGGAGCCATGGCCCTTGCACAGTTTAGTTAGATATGGGATGTGGGAGCCATGTATCTGGCGCAGGTTAGTTAGATGTGGTTTGTCATAGCCATGTCTCTGGCACAGGTTAGTTAGATGTGGTTTGTCATAGCCATGTCTCTGGCACAGGTTAGTTAGACATGGTATGTGGGAGCCATGTCTCTGGCACAGGTTAGTTAGATGTGGTTTGTCATAGCCATGTCTCTGGCACAGGTTAGTTAGATGTGGTTTGTCATAGCCATGTCTCTGGCACAGGTTAGTTAGATATGGTATGTCAGAGTAATGTCTCTGCCACAGGTTAGTTAGACATGGTAGGTGGGAGCTATGTATCTCGCGCAGGTTAGTTAGATGTGGTTTGTCATAGCCATGTCTCTGAAACAGGTTAGTTAGATATGGTATGTTGGAGCCCTGTCTCTGAAACAGGTTAGTTAGATATGGTATGTTGGAGCCATGTCTCTGGCCCAGGTTAGTTAAAAATGGGATGCTGTAGGCATGGCCCAGGCCCAGGGTAGTCAATTGTCTTTTAAATTGGATAACCCTGTACTTGTCTGAAGGGGTGTACTTAACCAAATTTTGGCCAGAGAATAGTTTGTAAGATTTTTCTTGCCCTCTCAACTCAAACATAAATTTCAACACTTACTTCAGTTAACATTTGCAACTTTTCCAAAACTGGTGGATGTGTTCAAATATGAGAGGTTCTAAGATAGTGGTTCTCAACCTGTGGGTTGTGACCCCTTTGTGGGGGTCAAATGACCCTTTCACAGGTGTCGCCTAAGTCCATCGGAAAACACATATACTCTACAGTTATGTAGTAGCAACGAAAATAATTTTGTGGTTAAGGGTCGCTACAACTTTATTAAAGGGTCACGGCATTCAGAAGGTTGAGACCCACTGTTCTAAAAGATTGAATGAAAATGTTTCCAGGGCCTCAGAATGAACCGCACCCTTGTGTCTCTTGTCCTGATGAACAACAACATTGGAAACAAAGGGGCAGAAAAGCTGGCAGAGGTGAGTACAAAACATCACTGTGTCTGTATTGGTGTGTACAAGTGTCTGCATTATGTGTCTGTGTCTTTATAAGTGTGTACAAATGTCTGCATTATGTGTCTGTCTTTTTTAGTGTGTACAGATGTCTGCATTAAGTGCCTGTGTCATTATTGCTGTGTACAAATATCTTCACTATGTACTATGAAATGTAAATTGATTCTCCCAGGCTTTGTCCCGATTCCCTTTGACACATGAAGAAACAGTGGAGAGGAGAAAACTCATGTCAGAGAAAAATAGTTTGGAAGGAAAATCTGTGAGTTACTCTTCTTTGATTTTTGTCTGACTCTGTAATGTTTGGTATTGATCTATAAGATGCTAAATTTGATAAATGCAGCTTTCACTATCAAATATTAATGTTCTCTGTTTTAATCACTGTTCCCAAAGTCACAAAGTGAAGCTCTCAGTTCCTCAAGTCCATGTTAACTTTTTAATACAGAATGCACACTTCACTTTTGTTTTTGTGTGTTAACATCAAGAAACTCCATCTCCTTTTTTTTTTTTTTTAAACATCAAAATGCTGCAGCCATTGGAATATATTTCCTCTCAATAAAATTGTGTAATTATTTGTTTTTCTCTAGTCAACGTCAATAGCCTCTGCCTCTTTAGAAGAGGTAAATAAGAGTTGAATTTTTTTTTTTTTTAATATTTCATTGGATTCAAAGTGCTCATGTTTTTTTTTTAATTTAATGACTTTACGTTTTCACTTCATATTATTGATAAAATACATCAGAACTGCTCAAATAAAATGTGAAATTATTAACCGCTGATGGAAGAGAAATAAGAAAAAAAAAACTGTGAGATATCTTAAGAGAAATATAAATCACACATCCGTCCTACACTTCCTGTTACAAAAGCTTCTCTGCAACCACTCCTCATCTAAAAGTGAATTAAGAGAAGAAAAAATATCTTTGCTAAGCTGAGTGGCTCTGGTGTTCATATTTTCATATGCTAAAATTTTGAATTCATTTTTGTTGATTTTAATTTTTGAAACCATTTCTGTGAGCATATTTCACAAAAGAATCACAATGAGATCAATATTGAGGAGTTCTCCAGTGGTGATATTTCATTAATTGTATGAACTTGTTGCCATTGTACATGACATCAACTTTATAAATTATGGCTAATTATAATTAGGCCAAACTAATTTAAGATATTCATCAAGAAAAAACTTATTTGAACTTTCCTTAAATACTTAACATTTTTATTTAAAAAATATTAATCTGCAGTGTGAATTAAAATTTAAAGAACTGGCTCATTAAATTAGGTCTTCAAACATTTTTAACACAAGTCATAGAATAAATGAGAGACTTCACCACTGCAACCTCGTGTAGCCAATGGAAAAATAACCTCTGACCTTTAGCCCTTCACCTGCCTCCCCATTTTTGTATCAGCCAACTCCAAGCCGTAGGGCAGAGTCCAAAGACAGGCCCGGCAGTGTTCGCAGCAACACGACCCAGGATAAAACCAAACAGAAGCCGTCTGCCAAAAAGAAAGTGAGAATATTACACACAAGGTTTGAGAAGATAAAATTATAATACTGAATTGAAAACAATTAACTTTTCATTAGAAGAGTTTAGATTGTCCAATTCAAGTAAATAAGGGCAGGAAAGTCCTTGAACTGGTCATTACATAATAATTTTAATAACAGCCCCTCTTCACAGTAACAAATCAAATATTTAATATACAATCCTTCTTCCTTACATCAGCTTAGGGTGAATGGACTTAACTTCAGTTTACTAGGATACAAATAAAATTTGTAATATGATTATTTTATGCAGATAATGATTATTTATGCAGATAACGGAACTTTCTGTAAGAACCAGTATTTAAAAATTATTGTTTCCTTTCTTCTTACAAGTTGGGTTTACAATTTTTATTTCGACATTTCATCAAATAAAACCTACTCATTTTGAGTTTTCATTTTGGAATAATTTTTTTCCCATAACAATGTTCTAGTTACTATACTCTAATTAACATTAATTTATTCTAATTAATAAATTAGATGATAAAATAATTGGGGGGATTTTTTGTAAAAGAGTTTTAAGGTGAAAACTACATTTTTTAAATTAATTATTTGAATGAATTCTCACTCAATAAATTAAAGGAATGTTTCATTAATGAGATAATTAAAATGTGAATATTTCATGATTAAGACAGTTTCATTAATTTGATTATTAATCAGTGAATATTTCCAGATAAGGCCTGTTTCATTAATTAATGTGACAATAAATTAGTGGATATATCATTATTAGGATACAAAGAGAGACTCCAAAGAAGAGAGTAAGACTGTGAAGAAAGATAAGGAAGAGACAAAGGATGGCAGGGGTTCTAAATCTAAAGGTATCTAGCAACAATTTACATTGACCTTATAGGCTATATAAAGTCTCATGCTTTGATTTCTTTATATGATGAGGCATATATAAATAATCCAGTAATCTTCCGTGGCTGTGGATAACATACTAGATATCTTTTGTCAATCTATTTAAAAATGTAAAATAAGATTTTTAGGTGACCACTGGACTGTCATCAAGTTGGCCTAGATTTTTTTTTTTAAAAAAGGTTGTGGGGCACACAAAAAAAGGTTGGATGGGGTGAGAATGTGGTGAGGTTATGTTGGGAGTAGATATATGGTTAAGTGATGGTGGATTATGAAACATTTTGTTGGTGTGGATTACATGTGGGTTTGGTGATAATGGATTATGTTACATTTTGTTGGTATGGATTACATGTGGGTTTGGTGATGATGGATTATGTTACATTTTTTTGGTGTGGATTACATGTGGGTTTGGTGATGGTGGATTATGAAACATTTTGTTGGTGTGGATTACATGTGGGTTTGGTGAGGATGGATTATGTTACATTTTGTTGGTGTGGATTACATGTTGGTTTGGTGATGGTGGATTATGAAACATTTTGTTGGTGGGGATTACATGTGGGTTTGGTGAGGATGGATTATGTTACGTTTTGTTGGTGTGGATTACATATGGGTTTGGTGATGATGGATTATGTCCAGGTTATTTGGGAGAGTTGTGGTGAGACCTCTAAACAAAATATTTTAAAGCTGAAAGCAAGATTTAAAGTTCTAATAAATGTTTTATTTTTTTAATTAAATGAAGCAGCTGGTAAGTAGCTCCAAGACAATCTTTTTAAAATTTAATTGATGGCAACAGCTTTCAGTTGCGTTGAGTACTAATTTTGATTGTGTGTGTCTGTGTGCATAATGACCCCCATCCTTCTTCCCGTAATCTCAACCAATGGACTAACCCAAATGGAGATATTTTAATTTGATCAATCTTTTAAACAGCACTGTACGTAATTATTCAACATCATCATGCTTTTAAAGATCTTAATTTTTTTTCAAGTAACTCTCTCTGGATAAGTTTAATTGAACATGATTTATTCCTTTTGATCAGCATATTTATTGTATTCCCTTGTAGGCACAAGTGTCTAAAATTCAACTGAATTTGTGCTTTACACCTCCATGCTTGTAAAAACTGAACACTGCCTATTCAAAGTCTTGATTTAGTCAGCTTAGATTTTATTCAAGAAATTGAGACAACTTGTAACAGTTCTGTCGCTTGTTCTTTCTCTCTTTCTATTTTATTCTTTCTGTCTTCTTGAACTTCTTGTTTGTTCTTTTTTTCCTCTTTCTGCTTCATTCTTGTTAACTATCGATTTCCATCTGAATTTTACTTATTTCAATACATGGAGTCAGAAGAATCCAATTAAGTACCCACTTTAATAACTTTTGCTCTGTCTTCTTTGAATAACACAGATACCTTAGTTCACAAAAATATATCTTTTTTTTTCCTTTAAATTAGCAATGTGGGGTAAATATCAGTGTGTTAAAATATAATGATATAAATTATTGATGATTTTGGGGTGAAAACACAGAATTTGAGAATGCATTGCAGTGAACAACTAACATGTCTATAACTGTGTCAACTGTATTTCATATTTAAAGAAATAAAAGTCTTAGCACATAACCAAATTCTATGTTCAGGAATAGTTTAGTAAGACTTTTTTATCAACTGATTGAACGCTTGTATATACTGAATTTACACTCTAATGAAAATTAGATTAATCTGATTTTCTTGAACGAGACGTGATTTTATGTGATGTTACTTGATTTTACGTGATGTTATGTGATATGCTCAGTGAGTTCCATCCATCTGTTTGTGTCAAGGACTCATGTGTTATTTTCACACCCTAGTGATTATGACACACAGGAATAAGGTAACTTATCACTGTATGCAAATGTTTGAAAGGAGTGCCATACTGTTTAATATCATTAAATATGCTGGTGGGTTTTCTTGTGAAGAATGTATTTTAAAATACAAACACAACTTTTACATTAATTATCTTTTTTTTTTTTTTTAATTTAAAAATAGCTCTTTGGGGTAAAGTTCTTAAATAATTCTGCTTATTTTCTCCAAAAGCCGCCGATAAAATGTCCATCTGCTAATAGCTATTATCACAGGTCAATCCTCTTACAGCCTTTATGACAGTTCAACATTTAAAGATTTAGATTTTGCTTGATTTAAGTATTTAATTTAAGGCCTTCCTGGGAATAAAGTTGATCTCATAAATAGGTTGTGTCTTGTCACACAATTCTTTCAATTCTTCCTACTATCACATTTATTAAACTTTTGAATAGAGTTAAAATAATGGTGGAAGACCCTATCAACTTTCATTTGGTTTCTTGATTATCTAAAGGTTTAAGAGGATCTCAATAGGGGGATATAACCAAGTACAAAGTATAACAAGTTTTTCTAGAATTATTCTCCTGCTTTTGCTTAAAATCAAATTTAAAATGGCTTTCACCCCCAAACAGACCACTATAATACATGTGCATATTTCCCCTTATTTCCAAAGCTTTAGTTAAAAAGACCCAATTTAATTTTATATGTGTGTGTGTTTGTTAGTCATAGCATAATTTGACCATGTGTCTATCTGTCATTGCATTGCCTGACAATTTGTCTGAAATGGCATTATTTGACTGATAAACCTGGAAGCTCTTTAAACCAATATTTGAAATAAACAGTTGATTTGATTGTTGAAATAAAAGTATTGAAATAGAGGAAACGTTTGGACTAAATTACCATGTATTTTAATTCATTATTTCAAAGATCTGTTAGTCATAAGCTCCATTCAGCTAGTCCAATCTGCTCTGTCTCTTCCATCACTAATATTAATATAATTCCATCTTATATTCTCACATGCGTTTGAAATTAATTGTTTTCTCTTACTTACCTGTGTTTTTTTTTCCAATTAAAATCCAAATATTGTTTTGCTGTATCAAGCAGATCCCCGGGGAAGCAGAGGAGGTCACTCAAAGTTTTTAATTTGTTTATTTTCTTCTACAAATAGCACTACTAATTTCTTGCCTATAAAGTCTGACCGCTACAAGCATTCACTGTGACCTGGTGTGATGCTGGAAGGTTCATTTTACTCATTAACAGAATGAGTTTAATTTGATAAAGGCTTTCTGGGATACAATTTTCATTTACATCTAACATAAATATGTGTAAATCCTTTCAGTTTTTCATTAGGTCACAGATCTTCTGTCTCTTCTTAACACAAACCTATTCTAGTATTATTGATGTATCTAGACATCTGCAAGTTTTCTTGATATAACTAGACATCTGCTAGTTTTCTTGATGTAACTAGACATCTGCAAGTTTTCTTCATATAACTAGACATCTGCAAGTTTTTTTTTGATATAACTAGACATCTGCTAGTTTTCTTGATATAACTAGACATCTGCTAGTTTTCTTGATGTCACTTGACATCTACTAGCTTTTTCAATGTCAATAGACACTTGCTAGTTTTCTTAAATGTCACCAGACATCAGTTAGCTTTCTTGATATTACTAAAATATAATTTTAGGATCTTCATTAAACTACCGGAAACTATTGCCACTCCTCTTTATTTTTTTATTATTGAACAAGCTAAACATAAACTTTCTTGTTTTATTAGATGTTGAACCACATTAATTGTACATCAATAGAAGACTACCATTACTGGTACTTAAAGAAGTATGCCAATATTTAGAGTGATAGAAAACTATCAATATTTATAGGTCTGCCAATACTTATAGTGACAGAAGTCTTCCAATATAAGAAACTAATACTTATTATTTAAATTTCTTTACCTTGATTGAGTTGGAAGGGGGTGGGGGGTTGTATTTATTACTATTTTAAAATTTCCTTACAAAATTTTTGGGCCTACATACCTCAATAAATAAATTTTCCCTAAAAGTATTTATAAATGATTTTGACCATGCTTATCCAGAATGTTTAATAATTGAAGCTTTAACCACAGTGTAAACTGCAAGGAGCAAAACTGCACAATAAATGATTGGATTTAAACTGTGTAGCTAGTTGATGATAATGATAAACATACCGGTACCTAAAATTAAAAATGTATACATTTTTCTACTTTCCCATTTTGAAATCAGATGATACCAAGTATTTATTATTAAGTCCTTTTAATGTTTAATTTTAAAGACACAGCATGATAATTTCTTTTAGTTTTTAGGAAAATAATTCACCCAGCTTTTCAACTGCTTGCTTTTAATTTTTTTTATAAAAATATTTGGAACATTCATTGCTTGCCCCTTAATTACTCAGCAATGTCTACGTATCATCTGATTACAAAAGTCTACTTATCAAAGAATATTTGCTTAACCATACAAAAAAATATAAAAATTCAAATGTTCAAATTCAAAAATTTCAAATTGAAAATATTTATAAAATAACAAAAGGCTTTATATTTATAAAAATTATAATAAACAACATATGACACTTACATGATGGCCCTATTGGAAAGTCTTGGCCATTAACACCTGTTTACGTAGTGTTATAAAAATCACATCAAATAAGCTGATGTATTGAAACCCAGTGTATCCTAATGAAATATTTTGTTATTATTAATAGAAGTGCTTGCTAATTTACTGTCCACTGCATTACACAAATATTATCTTGCAACCATATACATCCCGTATGATACCAATCTTCATTACCAGCCAATCAAAATGCAGCTTCTGGCCGCATGTCAAGCGGTGAGTGGGCACAGATAAGCATGGCATCAAGTAGAATTTACTCATTACTTTCATTGTATCAACTAAATCCCCTCTTTTAAAATAAGTTTTTAAAATAATATTATACTCTTATTATTTTCCTATTTTTTTATTCACTTTACAAAATGTGCACAATTTTCTATTGTTATATTTAGCCAGCTTTCTCATGGCACAAATAGATTGCTTTGCCTTTTGCACTTTATGAACAATCTGATTACTTCATGTATAATTTAGCAGAACAACTATTTTAATTGTAAATTTGAACATTTTTATTTGTACAATCTCTATTATAGTTATTTGTTTGTAAATCCTAAAAAGATGTAACAAAGCTTTTCTCAACTTTTACATAGAAATCCCAAAACATGATTTACTTTTTTTTTTTGCACTAAACTATAAACAGATAATGTTCACATACTGGTATATTTTATCAAATTTTTTTTATTTTTATAATTTTTATTTTATATTTATATACCTGTATGTAAATAGCATGTTGCTACAAAGATTTTTAAAATCTATAATTTTGTTCAGAATAATCAGGATGTTACTTTCCTTTGAAAGTTTTAGTTTGAACATTAAAATATACTAATAATACTAATAATAATAATACTAATACTAATAACACTACTGATACTAATCATCTCTTTTAACCATAAGAAAAATAAATGTAAAATTATGTAAATTACCCATTACCATTTATTCTTTAATCTACTTCTTCCCAGATTTAAAAAAAATTATTTTTGTTGTTAAATAAGGAATGCTATCCCTAAATCTTTTTTTTTTTTTACAAATTATTTTTAAAAGTCATCAGTTAAATAACAATAACATTTGCTTTTGTGAGAGTCAAATTTAATCTTTAAATGTTTTCATCTTCAGAATAGCAGCTAAAAATATTTAGTCAGTTAAAAAACTTTTGATTTTAAGACTTATTTTATTAGGGAATTTAATTTAGTGTGACAAATATATCTTGTCAATTTACTGAAAGTATAAATTGAACAGTTATTATTTAATCACCTCAAAAATTAAATCAAACTCTCATCAGATCAAAAATTGTTCATCAAAATGAAAAAACACTGATTTTTCTACTTATTCTAATTATTGCACGAGATTACCTACATACAATTGCCTACATAACATTACCCTACATGTGCAGGATATTACCTGGAGGTATGCATGCATTGCATAAGCATTAATTATATTACCTGCGGGTACCATTATGCATGTTTTGCTGATGTGTACATTACCACCAATTTAAAATATATAATAAAAACCTTTGCCAACTTTCAAAGTGTTCTCAAGGGCAACAAGTATGCAGTTTAATATTTTTTTTGTAAATTTATTCATTTTTTAAATATTTTTTTTTAAATAAACATTTATTTAGAATTTCTTTAAAAATAAAATGAAAATATATATCAAGCTTTGAAAAGACATTGATTATATCCATCGGTGTGGTAGGTATATAAATATGATAAATAATGCGCATTGAAAATACTTTTCTTTTTAAATAGAGCAATCAGTAAATAGTTTCCCTTATTTTGCATACTGAAGAATCCCAATGTAGTTCAAAAGTTTTAAAAAATAAAATGAAATAAAAACTTGATCTCCCTTCTCTTGCTCATTTATCCTCAAGGCACTGTGGTTTTCAAAGCAGCTATAAAATTGGTTGCCAGTGGTAAAATATTTAACCCCTGTCCAGCATGTTGAAATGTGCCTAGTATGATGATAGGCTGTTAGAGCGTCCAGTGTCTGTGCCTGTCTAACATAGCAAACATGGGAACCTGCATGATTGTCATATTTAATCATTATATATATACTTGAACACTGTTTGGACCACCACAGTCAAATATAGCGCACGTAAAAAGAAACATTATTAAAACATGTATATAACTTACAACACCTTCACTAAAAAACAAAGAGTATATAACAATTTCAATAAAAAGAGAACTGACAACACCTTTACTTAAAACATAAAGCATATAAACATCATTTCTAATTATACTAAAACAGGTAGTCGTATAGTATGTGCACCGCCTTTACTAAAGATTTAGAGTGTATAAATACTTTTACTAAACAAAAGGCACATAAATCACCTTTCCTAAAATATGGAGCACAACGAACACATTTTAATAAAAACATAATGATCCCCGTGTGAGATATTTAAATCATTGATTGGACATTTGTGTTTTGGGTTGACCCGTTGCTTGTAGTTAATTCTTCTCACTACCTAGTTTTGGTATTGTTATTTTTTTCCATGGCAATGTCAATCAACCACTTGTCTTTTTTTTTTAATAGTTGGCATTTAAATAAGATAAGATACGATTCTTTGTTGATCCAAATAAATGGAAACGTTTTATTATTACATTGTACCTATTCATTTTCAGTACATAAATAAATACCGGTACATATTTAAATCTAGGCAACATTTTACAATTATAACAGTTTAAGACATCTAAATCCTTTTTGAAAACACACTCAGTTGATTTTCAAGTGCATTTAACTATAAGATCACATTATTTCCATGGAAGCACATGTCCTATAATTTATAGTGTTGTTGTGTTGTGCCCTGTACTAAACTATTCATAGTAAAATTATTCCTTTAATTTTAGAGTTACTCCCGGTATTGTATTTTAAAAAAAACATCAGTCAATGAGATGGACCTGCAATATCTAACATCCTTTTTTTTTAAATTTCTCCTGTTTATAAACCTCACCTGCCACTGTTAGCAAATGTCTTTTCTTAGAATGCTTACATAAAATTTTTTTAGCCTTTTTCATATTAGCATATCATATTCTTTAAATGATGTGTTTAATTCTGTAAAAACAAATGCAAAACAAAAAAAAACTAGATCTAAGCTTAAAAATTCCTTCCAAAATTTCTTTAAATATTTTTTCATCTCCTTTGATGTATGTTTTGTTCTTTTGCTACCAGTAATAACTTAATTGATTCATTTCATTTTAAAATTTATCTTTTTTACAAATATAATTAATGTGCTTCTAAAAATTCCCAGCAAAAATTTAGAAATACTGAATGAAAAAGTCAAACAAAGCCAAATTATATATTAGATTATTTACATTAAGATTAAAATCGATTAGAGTTAGAGCAAAGCATTATGGTATAGACTTAACTATTCTTTTAAAGGATGTATGCAAGAGCTTAAAATTTATAAAACTAAAAATATTATTTGATCACATATTTTATTTGTATCCAAATAAATAATTTTTAAATAATATATGTTGGAAATTAGACGAAGTAAAGAAATGAAAGATGTTTAATTAATTTTTTGACAGTTTTTCTTTAAAAAGCCGGTACATAACTTAGATGCAGCAAGACCAAAAACATTCCCAGTAATAAAATAACTCATACTGGGTACTTTATTAAAATATTATTTTTAAAAGAAATGAAATGAAAAATTGCTTACTAAAACTAACTTCTAATATCTTCTACTGAACTGAAGTACAAAAGCTATTGCTTAATTCCTTGTGTTTTGTTTATGTTCAGCCACAGCAACAGAGGTGGCCAAGGCAGTAAACAAGACTAAAGACAAGAAGAATACCAAGGGTCGGGCTACAGTCACAGAGAATGAGGTACTGTAGTTCATTCAAGTATGGAATAATAAAATTTTGTCTGTACATAATCATAAAAGTAGCCATGCTAGCAATCAAAGTGAAAGTGAATCAAGTATTGTCTCTTTAGGGCTTTTGATTTTACATATAAGAAGGTCTGGGATTTTTTTATTGCTGCCTAAATTGGTAACTAATTTATTTACCCAATTCAAGAATTCTGATTTCAAATGGTTATATCTTGTTTATATGATGATTAACATTTATGCTTTGTGAGAGTTAGTAGATTGTATCCGTAATCTGCCCCTTTAGATACTGCATAACAAAATGTTATTATTTTATTTACTACAGTTTTCTTTGAGCACCACAGTACTACAGTATTCTTATCTAGATTATTTTGATTGAAAATTACTTTTGAACTTATTTCCCGCATAATAAAAGGTTTTCTTTTCTTCAAAGGGTTAAACTCTAACTTGATTTCTGTGGGGCAATCATTTAACAAAATACAGTTAAATTAAGGTCATGAATTTTTAATATTAATGCTTATATTTATTTTCTCACTGTGGCTCAGGACTTTGAAAACTTGGTGAGAGTTTTGTCGTTTTAAATTCAAAGTTTTCAATTCAGTTCACTTGGAATTTAGGGGAAATAATCTCTTTTTTTTTTGTACTGTATGTTTTATAATCAATTCCAGGGGTTAGCAAACTCCGGCACATGGGCCAGATCTGGTCCTGCACCACTTTTATTACAACCAGTGAGCTAAGCTGTGGATTTTACTTTTCACAATTTTACAATGTCAACACAAGATAGTTAATTTTTGTACCATCTGCTTCTAATGATTGTCTCCCTTATTCAAGCTAAATTCATTATTGATAAGGAGTGCAACATAAGTAAACATTTCATACCCGCTTACAACGATGTGACATGAGTAGACATGTCTTACCACATTACACTGATGTGACATGAGTAGACATGCCCAACCAGCTTACATCCATGAGCCATAAATAGACATGTCATACCACATTACACCAATGTGACATAAATAGACATGTCATACCACCTTTCACCGATGTGACATGAGTAGACTAGACATACCTTATTACACCCATGCAACATGAGTAGACATGCCCAACCATCTTACATCCATGTGACTTAAGTAGACAATCATGTTACCACCTTACACTTATTATTTTATGTAGGTACTCAGCACCCATAACACCTCAAATACTTTTTTGGCATACAAAAACAGAGTTTGCTGACCCATGCTTTCTACTAATATAATAACATGAAATGAATTGAAATTGATTGTGCATTATATCCCCCCCCCCCCAAGCCACCACCACCCTTTTCCACAAACACATATTTGATATTTCCAATGTCCCTAAAGAAAGGAAATATTTTATAAGATATTTTTTATAGTCTGGAAATTTTTTATTTTATTAAATTATTTTATTTTCATTATTTATTGCTTGACACTCTAACTGAAGGTCAGCAAAAATTTGGTAGACTCAGACCAGCAGTCACCTAACTTTTGGACCTCATGGACCATTAATTTCTTAATTTTAAATCCCACACACCACTAATATGAAGTTTTTAAAAAGATAAATACACTTGTAAAATAATAATAATAATAATAATAATTATGAGAACTTTCAATTTGTTAAAATGAAATGCACCTATTTAATATTTTAAAAGTTATAAGCGCTTATTTAATCATAACAAAACTTTAAAGGTTGTTTAATTGTAACAAAATCATCAAAGTAGTTTTTTAAAACAATTAAAGCTTATATAAGTATTGCAAATTATTAGTGTGATATTTGTTCCTGCTTGTTTGATTTATGGCTCCAGTGACGTTACTGAAGGATGGAGAGCCATATTTATTGCAAGATGAGACCAGTACCAAATTGTAGGTACCCAACCGGGTACTATGACTGATGAAAATGTCTTTTCCCAAAACTATTTTGTTGAAAATTAAATCAACATTGTCTTTGCTTTTTCACTCAGCAATGGGGGTTTACTTTTTATGGAAAACCAAAAACGGAGTCTTGATAACGATGACTGGAATTCAGCTTTGAGTCTGTCGTCGGATGATAGATCGATGAATCTTTCTTTTTCATTCTTACGTAAATTGCTATGGTCAGTGTTTGCTGCAAAAGTATCTCATAACCACATATTGCAATGTCTGTACCTTCTTTCTTTGGGTAATATTATAATAACAACCAACAGATAATGTGAATGATTTTAACTGGTGTTGAACAATGGTTACCACCTGCCAGTTGGCATCCTTCTCTCTCATATATTCACCAACATTTAAAATTAAAATCATTTGCAGATCTTCTTCATCCAGTTGCGTTTGCCACAGTAATATTTTCTTTTGAAAAATTTCCATTTTACCTCATAGTGTGGTTACATCTTTAAGTTGTCCTTGCATAACATACTGGTGCCGTAAATGACAAAAGATGCTTGCTGTTAAGTACTTTTTTTTATCTCTTACAATCAGTTTAATGGTTGTTGTATTAAAACAAAAAGACAGTATTTTAATTTAAAATTTCTTTTAATAATTAAATAAGTTTCTAATTTTTTCAAAATTTAACTATGAAACAAACAAAAAAAAAACTTTTCCATTTGCGTTGAATTTACTGCATCAAAATAAGAGATTACCAGTACCATAAAAGTGTAAAAGCTAAAAAAAAATTGTCATTCAGAATATAAAAATTCTTAGATAGAATATTATTTTTTAAATTATTAATAAAATATAAAAGATGTAAATAAGGTCCAGATTTTTCTGCGGAGCACCAAAATTTTTCTCGCAGACCACCTGTTGGCGTATGGTGGCTCAGACAGTTCTAAACAATGACCAGGTATAAATAAGTTCTAAACAATGGAAAATCCTAAAAGACAGACAGTTCCAGTTAATTTTATTACATATTTAGTGATAGTGGATTGCCAAAGATCATCTTAAAACAGATTTCAAATTTTGACAAGTTTAAACTATAACTATAACTAAACTAAGATCAGCCGACAGGTTAAGCTTTGAAAATAAAAATGTAAAAATTATTGTGGCCCTGAGATAATATGCACACATGAAATATCTTGTGTTGACAGAATGCAAACATCTGTTCACCATTCATTGAGTAGTGCTGCACCACAGTTTAATCATTCAATGTGGGTTTTCTTATTTTGGTTCCTGTTTGTCACAATTGTATGTGTAGGTCTACTAATTATCTAACCACTAATAATCCAAACCACTCTGATCTATTTCACTGATCTAGTTAAATACTTATCAGATAACTGATGTAAGAAATATGTATTTCATTTTGCCATCTGATGCATCCACTTCATAAATGATCAATGTTCAAGTCTTCTCATCGCTTTAAATATAAGTTTTAAATTGTTCCTAGCATGAAATGTTCCCTGTGTTATAAATATAACAATGTTCAAACTATTCATCTATTTGGTAACATCATGAGAAGTAATAACTTATGACAGTCTAAATTTATGAAATCAAAATTATTTATTTGTATACCGGTAACTTGTTTGTGACACACTGATATTCATACACTTGCTGTGCATACTTTTTAACTTATGTTTTACCTTTAATGTCACAGATTTAAATATTATGATGAGAATTATAGCTGTGAGATTTATGCAGATCATCCGATGACATGTCATAAACTAGTTATTTTGGTTGCTCGTCAATATTTCTAAATGCATATTGTTAGTCTTTTGTTAGTATTTTATTACGGTATTAGTTTTATTTTATTAATTTTTAAATTCTTACTTCAAGCGATGAAACGTACCCTATCCAATTGAATTTTAAAATTTGGAAATTAAATTTATCTCAAGGAGAGGATGGGTTTTTTGGTGGTTTTTTTTTTCCTCTTTTAATTTGATACTAGGGCAGACATTTTTTAACTTTAACATTTATTTTTTATCATGGTAGAACTTGATAGGAATTCATTTAATATTTAAGCAAATTTTTAAAAAAAATTTGTGCCCAAATAGGGATAATATTTTGAAGATTAAATTTACTGATTTTTTAAATATTTGTCATATAAAATTTCTTGGGATTTTGATATCACTGATCACCTCTCCACAAGAAGTTACATACCATACAACATACACATATTTTTACCACAACAAAAATGACTGTAGTTCTTTTTTTTCTTTTTTTTACAAAGAAATTAAATGACAATTTCATTTTCATAAGTAAATCATCATTTTTGTTTGAAAATACAGTGCAGCTTGACTTCAGTATTTATTGTAAGACTACGGTATTTTTTTGCCTTACTTACTTTAGCATCTCATACACAGCCAGATGTTTAACTTAGATTAAGATTGGACCGATTCCACAGACTTTTACAGCAACAACTTTTTTCATTTAGAATGCTGATGCCAGTGATTTGTTGAATCCATTGATGTCAGAAACAGCTGATTTCATGGATGGACAGTTGTGGATACCAGGCAATCGAATCCTTGTCAGCCTTAATTTGTCTAGTAAGTTAGCAGTAACAATGGTGGATATGGATAGTAAAGGCCTAGAAATTAGTAGCGAGTGGTAAACTTAACACTGTATGTTATAACTTGATTAGCTGATGGGTAAATTGACCCACACAAAGTTGATGCATGTGAGTCGAGTTGACTCCTGTGTGTTCAGTTGATCCATATGTGTTCAGTTGATCCATGTCTGTTAAGATGATCCATGTGTATTGAGTTGATCCATTTGTATTCAGTTGATCCCTGTGAGTTAAGTTGATCCAAATGTGTTCAGTTGATACACATGTGTTGATTTGATTTTGTTCCATGTTTGTTAAACTTACTAAATTATTTAGTTCAGAAGTTTTTATAAAATTCCTACACAATGTTTTGCCTGGTTTATGATGATTCACCTGGTTTATGATGATTCACCTGGTTTATGATGATTCATCTTGTTTATTATGATGATTCACCTGGTTTATTATGATGATTCATCTGGTTTATTATGATTCACCTGGTTTATTATGTTGATTCATCTGGTTTAAGATGACTCACCTGGTTTATGATGATTCAACCTGTTTGTTGAATTACCTGGTTTATGATGAAGATTCATCTGGTTTATGATGATTCACCTGGTTGATGTTGATTCGCCTGGTTTATGATGATGATTCACCTGGTTTATGATGATTCACCTGGTCAATGTTGATTCACCTGGTTTATGATGATTCACCTGGTTTATGATGATTCACCTGGTCTATGTTGATTCACCTGGTTTATGATGATTCACCTGGTCTATGATGATGATTCACCTGGTTTATGATGATTCACCTGGTTTATAATGATTCACCAAACCTGTTTCAATGAAGTATGATTTGCCAGTCAAGTGTCTTCAGTTCCATACTTTCCCACATGGTTTAGCTTTCCTTAGTTTATCTAGCATAAAATTGTAGGTTAGTTTTGCCATAAATCATCTATAATGTTCTTATGATTATTGCTATTTATTTTAAAGTCTAATAATGAGAATGAGATGCAAAAGGAAGAGGGGAAAAAAAGAGTGACCTTAGAAAAAATATGCTGATCCTAGAATATCACATTGTGCCTGGAACTGGAATATGTTGTGCCTGGAAAATGTTGTGTATGGAATATGTTGTGCATGGAATATGTTGTGCCTGGAAGATGTTGTGTATGGAATATGTTGTGCCTGGAATATGTTGTGCCTTGAATAAATTGTGTCTGGAATGTGCTGCGCCTGTAATATTTTGGGCATGGAATGATTTAAACATTATGTTTTATTTTCCGCCAGGAAATACAATTGGAGAAGAAGGTGTGGCGTCACTATTGAAAGCTATACAGTACCAGACAACCCTGAGTGCAGATGACCATAGACAAGGAGGGACTGGCCTAATGAGACTTTTACTTCTTGTAAGTTCTGCCCACAATCTGGTTTTGACAGAGTAGAGTATCTGATGTTGAGAGAGTGGTTCCATGTTCAGCTGATGTTTTACACTTACAGATGGGACTGATGCTGTCAAAAGGGGCTGATGTTGACAAATGGGACTGATGTTGACAAGTGGGACTGATTTTCACAACTGGGACTGGTGTGACAATGGGGGCTGATGATATTGACAAGTGGGTTTGATGTTAACAAATGGTAGCTGATGATATTGACAAGTGGGTCTGATGTTAACAATGGGGACTGATGTAACAAATGGTGGCTGATGATATTGACAAGAGAGTCTGATGTTAACAATGGGGACTGATGTTAACAAATGGTGGCTGATGTTAACAAATGGTAGCTGGTGATATTGGCAAGTGAGTCTGATGTTAAAAATGGGCACTGATGTTAAACTAAGGGTGGCTGATGATATTGACAAGTGGGTCTAATGTTAACAATGGGGACTGATGTTAACGAAGGGTAGCTGATGTTAACAAATGGTGGCTGATGTTAACAAATGGTAGCTGATGATATTGACAAGTGGGTCTGATGTTAACAAAGGGTGGCTGATGACATTGACATTGGGTCTGATGTTAACAATGGGGACTGATGTTAACAAAGGGTGGCTGATGACATTGACAAGTGGGTCTGATGTTAACAATGGGGACTGATGTTAACAAAGGGTGGCTGATGATATTGACAAGTGGGTCTGATGTTAACAATGGGGACTAATGTTAACAAAGGGTGGCTGAATGATATTGAAAAGGGTGGCTGATGATATTGACAAGTGGGTCTGATGTTAACAATGGGGACTGATGTTAACAAAGGGTGGGTGATGATATTGACAAGTGGGTCTGATGTTAACAATGGGGACTAATGTTAACAAAGGGTGGCTGAATGATATTGACATGTGGGTCTGATGTTAACAATGGGGACTGATGTTAACAAAGGGTGGCTGAATGATATTGACAAGTGGGTCTGATTGTGACATTACCTCAAGATGAGGATAAATGTTCTCTGCTCTCTATTTACAGAATCAACAAAACTGTAACTGACATGGAGGACATCTCCATTTCTCAATGATACTTGACTTTAAAGGAATTTTAAACATATTTTTTACAATGATGACATTTATTTATATGCCTAGTGAATAAATTAGAAATATAAAATATCAGTTTTGGAAATTTGATTGATTTCATTGGAGCGTTATTTTGTTACCAGTATACCAGTTTATGCTGCCATATTTTGGCCCGCTATGTATACTGTTTACATTTTAATACTAGAAGGGGCCAGTTCACTTTTAATCAAACTTTTCAAGTTTTCCTTTTTTTGTGTGTGTTGCTCTTCTAATTTCTAGCTTTTCAGCTAGCATCATTATTTTATCAAAACTTTCCATAGCTAAGTATATGAAATAATAACCTACTGCAGCAGCGGTTCTCAACCTGTGGGTCGTGACCCCTTTGGGGGTCGCAAGACCCTTTCACAAAGGTCGCCCAAGACCATCTGAAAACACATACACTCTATAGTTATAAAATACCAACAAAAATAATTTTGTTGTTTGGGGTCGCCACAACATGAGGCGCTGTATTAAAGGGTCGCGGTTTTAGAAAGGTTGAGAACCACTGTACTACAGTCATAAATATTTAACTTAAACTGCAAACTATCATGACGGTACCGGTTTCTAATTTTCTGAAGAAATTTATTAAAAATGTGTTTTTTTGAATTATAATTCTTTTTAGCTGTTCTATTTTCAGTTTATTCCATTTCTTTTTTTGTAGGTATTTTTCATTGCTTTTTAAGGTATGTTCACATTGTGGCTTTGTTGCAGCCACAAAGCTCAGTTGGGAAGCCATGTTGACAATCCACTATTTGTTGTTGTTTACAATCTCCAGCTAACAGTAGTGATGTTACACATAGGAGACTGCACTGAGCAGGCACAACTATGCAGAATTATTGTCAATTTATTCTAGCACAAAAGCAACCAGCAGCTCCAAGTGTCTCTTTATAATTATTTGAATAAATTCAGCTTTTTTCTTTCAACTAAGATTTTACCAATAACCACCCATGCAATTCAATTGAAAGTTAAAACATAATATTTTAAAAACATTTATTCCATTATTCTAAACTAGACATGGTCTAAGTCTAAGAAATCTCATGACCTGTATGGCAACAGCCTATGTGTATGGTAACAGCCTACATGTATGGCAACAGCCTACATGTATGGCAACAGCCAATGTGTATGGCAACAGCCTATGTGTATGGCAACAGCCTACGTGCATGGCAACAGCCTATGTGCATGGCAACAGCCTACGTAGGCTATGGCAACAGCCTACGTGTATGGCAACAGCCTATGTGTATGGCAACAGCCTACATGTATGGCAACAGCCTACCCGGTTGAGAATCTCAGAAACAAAGGAGCAGTGTGACCTACATTTTGAGCTGATTATTCATTAAATAAGAGGTCATCATAATCAAGTACACACACCTCTTAAGTTGGGTCACTGATGAGTGTTAAGGTGGAACTCTGTATCAATTGTATATCGATGGCTGGAGATGTACTTATTCTTATTGTGGAGTTTTGAAATGATATTCTCACAGAAATAATCATGATATTGTCACATAAGAAATACAGATGCCTGAGATCAAATTGTGTCACAAATAATGACTAATCTTAATTTGTTATTTGACTGATTGATTTATTATTTGTTTAAATGAGTGATTTAGTGAGTGATTCCTTGACCAATTCATTTATTGACCGAGTAATTGGTTAGCTGAGTGATTTATTGATAAATTGACTGACTTATTGATTGACCATGACTGCATTGATGTACAGATTGACTGAGCAGCTAATTCATTAGCCGAGTGATTTATTGACTGACTTATTGATTAACCAATTTATTGATTGCGTGATTCACTGACTGACTGGTGGATCGATTGACTTACAATTGATTGATTGATTGTTCTACAGAAGAACTCAGTCCCTTCTAACAGTGAAAGTTTGAGAAAGTTGACAGAAATGATGCTACAGAAAGATCCCTGGTACAAACACTCTACATCATCAGACATCGAACGTTAGGACACATCTCTTGTCACATGACTCAAGTAATCTCCCTTTCTTTATGTTTTATCTTTTGTCCACACTGTTAAATTGTTAATCTGATGACTACATTGGCTTACGGGTATCTGTATCTATTCTGAATTCTAATTGTCTATTATTTATCCTGATGCCTAGATTGTTTTATCTCAATATTTTTTGTACCGGTAAATTAATTGAAGCAGTAGATATATTTTAAGTCTTATTAAAATTAAACCTTAACAAAATGTCATTGTCTAATGCACGTGAGGCAAACATGCAGACGTTTTTTTTAACGAAATTAAAAATTATTTATTTTCCAGTGTTGTTACAAGCCAACAGATTTACTGATCAGCTCAAGAGAGTTTGGGGAGGTCCACCAATTTCGGAAGATTTGTGATCAAAGAGTGTCTAATTTGTATTACAGATTTGTGACCATTTGGGGAGGGGGGGGGGGTGTGTGTGTGTCAAAATTTGTGTGAAATAGCACAACATCATTTATTGATGGCACATATTTAGATGAGCCCATGTTCTGACCTCAACAATTGGTATTATGGTATAAAATATGAATCTTAATTGGCATAATATATGAATCTTAAAGGTCAAATGTTGAAAAGCAAATTTTATCATTTAATATACCGGTAATTTGGATGCTGTAAGTTGTGCCCGTAACTCTGACCATGGTAAGCTGGTAATGGTATTAGGGAAATGAAATCATCAAATATAATGAGCTGGTAATGGTATTAGGGAAATGAAATCATCAAATATAATGAGCTGGTAATGGTATTAGGGAAATGAAATCATCAAATATAATGAGCTGGTAATGGTATTAGGGAAATGAAATCATCAAATATAATGAGCTTCATCTTAAAGTTAAAGCTCTAGTTTCCTGTTTCATATTTTTTAGGATTTTTTTTTTTTAACATCAAAATCAAATGCAAGATTGGATTAGTATTTTTTATAAAGGGGAGGCAAAAATGAAATTTCAATTTCACTATTTAATTCATCATACTTCTTTGAAGTACCCTTACTGTAAGTGACCATCCATATTTAAATTTAAAGTACGCAAAAGAAAAGTCTGTTGAAAATCATACATTTTTTGTAATTGGCCAGCTTTCAAAGTTGAGACATCTTGCACTGTGATATTAAATTAATAATTAATAAATCATATTCAAAGAAATATGTTTCAACTTTTTCATGTGAATGTGAGCCAAGACTTTGTGGTCATCAGATTTCCAGGTTGTTGTTTATTACAAAAATGATAATCATATTGGTTTGACCCATTTGTGAAAATATTTTATTTTAATATCCTGATTTTTGTAAAATTGCAACTTAGCAAATGAATGACATTTCAAATAACATTCACAAAGTATGATTTTTTTTAAAAAGTAGTTGTTAAGTATTGGTTACACTACACCGGTACGCCCTTTGCATGTCTTACAGTACGGTACCACATGCTGAATATTTTCCAAGGAAAATAATTTGTTTCCAAAAGTAGATGATTTCTGCTTGTCATTCCAGGTGTGTATTCAACTATTGATGTCAGCACATTCTTTGTGGGCATTAAGTAATTTATCAATCTGACCGTGATGTTGGTGATCCATTATAAAAACAGGTAACAGGTTTAAAACCAAAATCCTAAAAACAATTAATGTTAGGAGAAGAAAAAAACATGAACTGAACATCCCTAATTTTAAGTCCAATCATCACTTCAAGCAAGACCTTTTGATATCTTATTTTTTAAATTTGTACAATTGCTTTTAAAAAGCTCTTTACCAGTGGTGAGATTTAAGTTGCACTTATTTGTTCTTTCCACTCAAAATAAAATCATGAAATTTTGTGTGAAATGTGACCGATTCATTGCAGTGACCAAAAGACACAATATTTTATGTTGGGGCACCACCAAGTGAAATATCCTAATAATGTAATGGCGTCTTAGTGACTGGCTGAAACTATTTAGTCACGTTGGGGCACCACCTAGTGAAATATCTTAATAATGTAATGGCATCTAGTGACTGGTTGACACTATTTAGTCACGTTGGGGCACCAATTAGTGAAATATCTAAATAATAATAATACACAAGATCATTTGTTGGTTCCCTGGTCTGCGTTTAAAAATCCTATAATTATAATTTATTTAGAATTAATTTAGTAATTTTTTTATTTAAAAAGAATTAATTTAGTTTCCCCATTAATTACAGCAAAGTGTATTTCAAATTTGCCCATATAATTTATTCACATTTCCGTTAATAAAAAATTGTTCAAGTAAAACAGTTTACCATTGAAAAATCTTTACATTCAAATAATTGGTTAAGTCATAACATGCATACTAAACTAAGAGCAGTCATCATATGCAGACCAAAATAAGAGCATCACCCCATCATCACACACAGACCCAACTAAGAGTGTAGTCATCACACACAGACCCAACTAAGAGTGTAGTCATCACACACAGACCCAACTAAGAGTTTAGTCATCACACACAGACCAAACTCCACCCTTCATACACATTCAATCTTTAGGGAACAACTGTGCTACATTCTGCACACACTCACTAAGGAATATTCGGTACCTGAATTCTACTTTAAAAAATTTAAGAACAGTAATACTTAAAAAGAAAACTCAAGATAATAGTTGACCAATCATTTATTACTGAAATGACATTTTCTTTTTTCTTTTCTTATTTGAGAATAGAAATGGTGACTTGTCAGTCTATACACAAATCAAAGAATATTAGCTGTGTTTCCCTCCATAGAGATGGCTGACCAAAGTCAAAGAGAATACAGACAATATTATCAGCTAGTCTCAAGTAGAAATCACAATGTATATATACAAGTTATGTCAACATTTCAGCTCTGCTCAACAGACTGAGAACACAACAGTTTGATAGCAAAGCCAGAATTTCCATCAAAGAATGACAACAGACAGACCAAATGTATAAATAGGTATCAATAAATAATCTGCCCGCCCCACCCCCCAGGCGATAAGCATTTCTTTAATCCATATAAACGCATCAAATGTGTGTGTTGCTAGCTAATAATAAGCAAGGATGTCATGTGCTGCTAGCTAGTAATAAGTAATGATGGCATTTGTTGCTAGCTTTGATTGCCATTTCACATGGAGCTCAACACAAATAATGACACAACCGTATCTGACTGGAGATTGAGTTGAATTTTTTTAAAATTTAACAAGTAAAGAAATATGTGCAGCCCAACCCCCCATCCCCACTTTTTTTTTTCCTCTCCCTTAACACTTGAAACCCTAAAAAGTACCTTCACTTACTTGTAGCAGCCACAAATTTCAGTGATAAATCAAAGTGCAGAATCCACTGCTATAACTTGCTATAATAATCTACAGAAATTTATGACTGACACACAGATATACCACATGGATATTCAAAATGAGCAGGTACAACTATACTTCTGAAGCAGAACTTACATTTATGTTTCTGTCCTAGCACAGCAGTCAGCACCATGAGGCTCTTTGAATAAATGCTGCTTTTTTCATTTAAATTTGCACTATAAAAAGAGCGAATAACCCATCATTTGACCATAAATTTTACTGCTGACATATGTGGATGGCAGGGAAGTGGATATATTCAAACATAGACTTAAATCAACCATCCATGCAAGGCAAAAAAAAAAGAAAGAAAAAAAAGGAAAAAGCTTTTTTTGTTAAAATACCATTATTAAACTTTTTTTTTTTAAAGCCTCTAATTCTAAATTCTAATGCCTCATCTTTTTTTGTTTTGACCATTCCAAAAAAATAAAATCTACAAATTTTAATCTTCCAACTATAAAATATGCTCACCGGAAGGCCAGTAGTATCTAATATAATTTATCAAAAGTCATGTCAACTGATGACAATGCATGTGCAAAGATAAAAATATGACTATTGTGTTTGAAGACCACAAAATAATGCAACTTTTTACAAAGCCATAAAATGGCACTTGTTGACTATTTTTTTGTCCACATGGTCACAGATATCTTGCAATTCATATGGCAACAGTTCACCAGCTAAGAATCTCAGGGAGAAACCTGAAGTGTGAACACACATTAAAATACTACAGATAAAACTCAATTCTATTTCTATAGTCCTTAAACTTCCAACTGAACACATGTTATAATTAAGTTAACATTTACAAATGACTCATTGATGTGGGACATGGAGAATGCTATCTGTCTGACATACTTTAAAACATTTTAATTAGGGCAGTTATTGTTCTGCTTTTTAATGGTCATACAAACTTGACTTGGAAATTATCAAATCATAATAATAATAGTGAGAGGTGAGAAAAGATAATGCTTACACACTGACAAAATCAGTCCATCAGTTACCTACAAGTAAGTGCCAGGCTTGCACGCTGACAAATCCGTCCATTTCATACCTACAAGCCAGGCGAAGCCCATGGGATATGTCAATTAGAGGTCACAACCTAGGAACATTTATTCATGAGTTGGGGCAACATGTGGCAGAGGTTCGCAATATTTGTTCTCTATGGTGAACACAGTTAATCATAGATTATCAGATGCCTAATTTGATCAATTTTTTTAAGCAACCGTGGGACATATTCAACAAATGATCACAAACTTGTTTCCCTGCTCAATTTCATAATTTTATACAATTTTATTTTTGTAAAGATCAATATTAGCCCACAGTAGTGTAGAGTACCTTTGAAATGATAATTTTCATAAATCTGCACCTTTAAATGGAGTGACTGGACTATTAAATTTAAATTGCGGTGAAGTCTTTCGGCATCATCCTTTCTGCAATAAGTTCATTATTAAAAATAAAAACAAATACCATAAATTGCATTGTGGCTTTGCTAGTCCAACAAAAAGTGCATAATTTAATTTGTGTAAGTACTAGAATCACAAAGAGAAATGTCAGGCATTCAAGCAATCGTAATAAATTCTGATTAACATTTAACCATACACATTTCTATAGAAGACATTCATAAAAAAATTTTGTGAATAGCATTAAAACCTTGTGATTGCAAACAAACTTTGTTGGGTTTTTTACAAAATTTAAATAACGTCATTAAAATATTGTAAAATTATTATGGTAAGTTTTATTGGTTGCCTCAATCATCAAAGTCAGTATACAAAACTAACCACACTTCATTATTATTATAGCGAAAGGAACTATTTTAATTTTTTTTTTTCAACTTAAATTTTTACACATTGCAACTAAGTGGTGCTAATTACTAATAGTTGTTAAGCAACACTTTGATATTGACATTATTGGAATAAATGAAATATACAATCAAAACACGGGAACAAAATACTAGAATGACTAGCACAATTAAAAAAATTCAGTTATTCTAAGTCTTATCCAAAGAAAGCTGTGGAATAAATGGCCAGAAATGGGCACTCCTGTACCTAGACTTACAATAAACCCATCTTGGCATTTCAAACTAACAAATTTTCATGACATCATTTTGTAATAGCCCACATTGACCAGAATTGTCCATTGACCATTGTCAACTTTATATAGTCTACAAAACAATGAATTTGTTCCAGTCAACTTGTTTGAAAATGTGCAACGTGCTCTAATAGTTTCATCAAAGTGCATCAAACTTGAATAAAGTCATTTTAAAAAAGCCAAGGGATCTCCATGAGTTAATAACAGCTCATACCAATATTATGCTAAATACAGCCAAATGTCTTCCATTTGGGCTGATCATGAATACATTTACAATGTACTGAGAGCTTTTGAATCCAAATTACAGCATGTAGTACAGGAATAATTATGTGCCCTCAATGGCATGATAGAAACCAACATCATATAGTAGGAGAACATTTTCAGATGCTCTTATAAAGTTTGAAAAAATGGGGTTGAGTTCATGGATCCAAATGATTAATCTATAGAAAATAACACGACCCAGTTTTCATTAAAAGTGGGAAAGAAACACTTCAAAACTGCAACCTGGCTAACAAGATGACAAGCTTTATGGAAAGTTCAACTACGATGCTGAAATTGAAGCATCAGTGATGGATATAATAATAAAACTTTGATTGAACACCTGCTCAAGGAATGTCCCATTCTGCTGGAAGCTGGAGATGGAGTCTGACATGGTGTGTGCAACAGTAACAGCCAAACTCAGAATCAACACTTGCTCAGACAATGTCAAAATATAGGCAACAACGTTTTCCTGCCATAGATTGGTCTGAACAACCTTTTTGAGGGAAAAAAAATTCAAACACAAGCCAGTATAAACGAAAGTAAAGACAGTGAAACCTCACTATAACACAGTAGTTTGGGTCCACATATGTGGGTTTTTTCAATATTTCCTGCGAATCTTGTCAGAATTATTTTGCTAAGTAAGCAATCAGGTGTTACAGTTGGGCTAGTGTTAATGGATTTGTGATTGTGTTGTATGAGAATATATATTTTTAATATTCTTTTTTTTTTCTATATACTTAAAGAACAAAATTTAATGAGCAATGAACAAACCAGTATGAAATTTTGGGAATCATGACAAATCCGCTTCATATAGCGGTGCATTATAGTAGGTTCCCTTATTAAAATATTACATTTATCAAAGACAGCGTTTTTTTATGAAAATGGTTTAGACACAGGGGATAAGTCTCATTCAGTCAGCTCTATCCAAAGTACAAAATGACTTAAGCTCTACACCTGTTTAAAAAATAATTCAACAACCCTATATCTGACTCATATCCACTAAATGAACTGTTAATATTTCTCAGTCAATGGATGAACACTGAATAGACAGACATCACACTTCACATACATCATTTAAACAAGGGTGGATGGGTGAGAAGTATATAATAGCTGAGCACCATCTATGGTGAACTATGGGCATCTGGAATACAAACCAACAATAGTTTTGTTTTTTAAAAAAGGCCACAAGACCAAAATGTTATGGTTTTCATTTAAAAATCTGCTAGTGAGGTTGAAGTTATAAGCATTTCATTGAACCAAACAAGAGTAAACATTGGACAGTTAACAATGATCACTGAATAAATATATTACAACAACTTCAGCTAAACTTGCCCAGCTGCATCAAATGATTCATTTTTGTGTGGGGAAACAGAGCAATAACAAGGCAAGGTGTGTGGAGCAGCTAGTGCTGAGACTAGGGAATATACCATCTGCAGTTGCACAATTATTCTTTTTCTCAGTTTCTTTGTTGCTTGCAATAAGTCACAGACTGTGTTCTTCGTTGCTATTATATATGGCATCAAATAATCATCAGTAAACATCATTCAGCTCCATCCTTCACCTATGGAAAAGGTGAAATAGAATCATAATCTGATAACAGCGCTAAGCATAACATGATATTCAGTCATATATAGAAAAATAAATATGCCTGCTATTGTCTCTTTGTTAAAACAAATCCATGTACATTCTCTTATTTTCATAGTCCTTAAACCAAGGATAACAAGGGGGAAAGAGAGTGATGGGGTTAGGTAAAAGGAAATTGTTAATACAAGGTACTTGAAAACCTGAAAAAAGGATGCAATGAAACAATGAAAGTGTGGGCAAGAAGTACACTACCTTTCTCTAGGATGATAAATTTAAGCAATGCTTTATTTTAAATTCATTAAAGTTGGGGTTTATTTGTTGTTTTTTTTACTGACGAAAGATCCTGGCCCACGCGTTTGTTGCACCCTTTTTTTTCAGGTTTTTCCACTACCTTCAGTACTTATTAAGCCTTTCATTAAGCCCACAAGGGTTATAAATCAAAACTGATCTGCATTTTAATATGAAAACCTAGATAACACTAACAATACTGAATATTTCCTAAGTTTTGTTCAAAGATATTTAAGTCAATTTTAAGACAATATATCATTATCACATCAACTATTAATGAAAAATATAACAATAATGCTTAAAATATGCCATCTCTTGGCTGCTGCAAACAAATACGTAAATATTTATTCAAGCAATTAAAAAAAAGAGAAAAAAAGAAAAGAAAACATACTTACTGTTTTTCCAGGCCTTGCCCAGGTTAACACAATACCTTCCTGGCACGCTGTTACTATACATTCATTTCGGAATGAAATAGAAGTTAGTCTCTCATGAGAAACTTTCTTGCATACCAATGGCTCCAAAATAGGTACTTGATCTAACCGGGGACATGCTTGAGTGCCATAGAGCTTCATTGCACTATCCACTGGACGAATATTGTTTGATTTCACAACAGAGGATTTTTCACTATTTCTTGCAGCTAAACTGAAGTTTCTTTTATGCTCTTTCTTTTCAGTGGTATCTTTACGATCAGACACTGAGAGTGTAGCGAATTTAGAGCTAGCATTCATCACAGCATTTTGTATGGGGTGAGCATGACCATCAGCGTAGGCATTGGCAGAAACATCATTGCCCACAACAGTAGCAACATTGTTTGTTTTCTGTGAACTGGGCAAGCTGTTGGAGCGGGGTAGAGAAGCTGATGATGTATTAAGACCTGTAAGACCCACACTGCTAGTCCGAGACTTACCATAGGGCTGCTTTAAAACATCCTCTGTTAAGTCCCATAAACACAACTCAGTGTCCTGTCCAACAGAGCCAAAACGATAAGAAATGCAGTTCAAGGTTGTACTTGTTTCTAGTGTCGATGAAGAAAAATGATTAGATGTGGTTATGTGTCGCCCATTAGGATGCTGCGGGGGTAAACTATTAGGGGTAAAGTCACAGCTGGTAGAATCTATTTTACCTATGTGATTGCTTCCTTCACTTACAAGAGATGGTGCCCGTGCTGGTAGTACTTCACCATCTGGTCCTATCACATCACTGGTACCTTCATCACAAACTATAGAATTGTAGGGGTCAAACGCCACCATGTTGACCCATGATTTATGACCATGACCCCTACATATGACACGCTTTTCATGGAAAGACCAAACTGAAACCAAGTCATCCTCTCCTCCAGTCACAAGATACTTCCCATCTGGTGACCAGTTCACACATAGCAAACCACCAAAGAAACTTTTCATTGTTCCTAATAATTCCATAGTACTATACTGAAATACTCGAAGATGTCCATCTTGGCTGACAACAGCCAAGTATTTTGCACATGGTGAAAAGGCAAATTCATTAATAGCTCCCTGACCAATGACCCATCTATACATGGGGTTGCGGGTGCTTTTGGTTTTACAGGTGTAAACGGCATAACCTTCACCCTGCTTGAATGGTTGATAGTTCGGGGGTGTCTGCCCACAAGGCAGCTCTTCATTGTAAAGATACATTTGTCCTGAAGAATGTGATACTAGAAACTGATTGGGGGAGCATGGAATCCATTTGATGCATGTCACCTTGGTCTTGTCAATAAGTCTCTGAAATAAATACACATAAGCTTCAGTTTAGTCACTGTATGAAAACAAATAAAATATTATTGTTATGCCTTTCTTGACTAATAATTTTATTGACAATACTTTAGTGTTAAAATGTTTCTTGCGTTAATTGGGTTCATTATCACAAACCTTTTTATTTTTTTTCAAAAAAAGATAAAACAGGCCTACTCTATTTAATTTTTTTAAAATTCAAAATGCCTACAAAACCACAAATAAAAAGTAGACAATCATGTTAATTACCCCTCATGAGCTGAAACTGGTGCCTATTCATCAGCACTGTAGTACTAAATCATTATTTTGTTCCGTTTCGGATGGATCCTTATTTTAATTGCACTTTTTATAGATTAAAACAAAACTTTTTTCAGAAGCACAAAAAAAAAATGTAACTTGTGACACATCACCCTAGTGCAGTTTTAGTGGCTAAGAAATAACAAAAAAAAATCCTCAGTAGAGTTGGTTATGTCATATCAAGCTATTAAAAATGACAGCTCAGAAAAAAAGTACAATTATAATAAAGTTATTTGATTTGTGAAGACATCACAGGAAGAAAACCGGGGGGGAGGGGTGTTGCCCTCTAGCCTTACCCACACCTATTCGGGAGCAAATTAGATGCAACCCCCAAAAAATATCAAAGATTCCTCCAAACCTATCTAGATTCAATTTTTTTTTTAATCACCAAAATGGCAGATTAGTCTGTTTACAGATCAGTTGCCAATCAATAAGCACAACCTTTGTCCAAACGCAGACAAAAACAATAGGAAAAACGAACATATTGTGATGGAGCATGCAAAAATAATTACCTCTTCATTGTACAGTTTGCTGATCTCTTTCTTAATTGGATCTATGAGCTGCACCTGCCCTGCTGTAAAACCAACCAAGAGCAGAACACTCTCAGGGGTGAGAAAATGTTGGTTAAAGTCATGGCAGGTCGGTAATGTCCCTTTATAAATTCTCTTGTCAATTGGTTTAGTTAAGTCAGCAGCCTGCAACAGAATCAACAATGACTATTATATTGATTGTTTATCTGCTATTTAATAAGATATTCACACAGATAATGACAAATAGTAGAGTCAGAAGATTGTTCACATTGCTGTTACATACTTGTACCTGCACATTCTACATACCGGTACGTTGGATTTACAGACCTTCACTGTTTTCTAAATAAAATTCTAAATTAATAAAATTCCATTCAATCTATATGTAATACTAAAAACACTGCGTAAACAGAGTGCAGTTGTGTGGTCATGTTGGGCATGGAATCGCCATGAACATCAAGCATTTGCTCAATGAAAGTGCGTATTGAATACATGTATAATATTGTCTTTCTGCACGTGACTAAGCACCTTGTCATATGTTTGGACTCCTAACAAAAAAAAATACCATGTAATCTGACCGTCACATATTTCATGATTCTATGTTGTCGACTTGTTTACATGTGCTTCCAGACCAATGGAAAAATGTGTTTTGTCTATGTTCATGATTCAATGTAGTCTGTTTATGCGCTTCTAGACCAACATAAAAACATGTTTAATCTGTGTTCATGATTCTATAAAGTACATTTGTTTACATGTGTGTCTAGACCAAAGAGAAAACATGTCTGGTCCATGTTTATGATTCTATATTGTCCATTTGATGATTCTATATTGTCCATTTGTTTTTACATGTGCTTCAAGGCCAAATTAGAAATGAAAAAGAGTTGTAACATCTTTTTAAAGGATGTAAGATTGTCTAAATGAAACAGAAAGGTTGTTTTTAAAATAACATTAAGGCAGTATTTCCCAACTGTAAATTTATGTCCCACAGGGAGGCGATTTTAAAATTAGGGGCAAGAGGTTGGACATTAATTTGCTGAAAATCAACTTATTAGGCCTGATGATTTGTCCTCACATGCATCACATTCTGACACAGCTCGCAGCTCTAAAAATTAAGATATGTTATTTCTAATGTTTATTAATGTTATTTTGTTTACTGAAGAAGGCAATTAGTTTGAATTAGCCATCAGGTTCATTGTATTGTTTTAAGCCTGCTTTCAGTTTTTACCCCACCCTGCAAAATAATGAATTAAATATATTTAACTGGTGATGATATTTTAGAGGGATGACAAAAAACACACTGTCGGTATCATCCCATGTAGTGCACAGGCTTGCTCCACTGCATTCTTCCAATGGGATCAATCCATGGCTTTCCGTCTCCATGTGTGGGACCCAGCTGACGTAAGTCCTTCTCTACATCATCAATCCCTCTCAGCATTGGTCGACTTGATGAGCCGTCTGCCCCTAGGTTTCTGTTTGTCCCTAGGTTTCTGTCTGTCCCTAGTGTTCCACCTGTAGATCACTTTTGCTGCTCTACAATCCAGCTTCCTCTCAGGATATTCTCTCCAGCGCAGTCAGCTTTTTTTTTTTATTGTTGTGACTCTGGGTGGGTCTTCATACAAGTGACTTGCCCAGTAGGATTAACAAAATGTAACCATTTTACATTATGTAACATGTAATATCTCAAAGAATTTGAAATCAATAGATGGATGTGGATGATAAGTTCTAATTCCTGTCCAACGAAATTTAACATTTTCTTAATTTTATAAAGAACACCACAATAATAATAATAATAATAATAATAAGTGGTCTTATATAGCGCGGTACCCCGGCCTAGGGCTGGGCTCACCGCACTGTACATATATAGCAAAGAGACATAATCATACTATTAAAATAAAATACATAAATGAAATAAAACAACATATAAGCAAAACAACACCATAGGTATATTCATCCACCCACACCAGACATTTTTACAAGGAAACCCATGTACGTTTATCGGTTTATAGGAGGAGAATAATAATAGAAGAGGTCTCCGTATAGACCACGAACATTACCATACATTACAAAAGAATTGGGTCACGAAATGGTGAGGTGCAGTCCATGGTAAAAAGGGTGCTAACAAATTCACATTTTACAAAATTCATATCTCAAAAAGCACTCACAGTAATTGATGTTTTTATTCATTAAATTGATAGGTTGCCTATATACCTGTAGAACATTTTAAAAAATAAATAATTTTTACAGCAGCTGACAAGGCTATGTTCATCCCAAATTAGGCTTAGGCCTCTGTGAGGAAGGAATTATTGTGCTCTACCTACAGCGCTTCTCAATGTATCCACTGAAATTTTAAATATTGACTAATGGCATCAAAGATATATCATTTTAAACGGCTAGCAATAAGATTTCCAAAAATACCAACTCCTATTTCTATCTTTTATAGAGTTGAATTTTTTTTTTTTTTATATTTTGTTTTTGTGAACTTGTATAAGCACCTCATACAACCATTGTTTGTATTTAACAACATTTTTGCCCACAACTTTTATTTTTAAGATAATGATGCCAAATTTTCAGGAGACATTCTCAAAGCAATATACACCACAATTAACAACAAAACTTTTACATAATATCAAGACTTTTTTTAAATTTATGATTTTATTAGTGCATAACTTCATAAAATCCTGAAAAGAAAAATTATGCACAAAAATTTAAAAAATAAAATATGTCCATTGAAATTTAATGAACTACAAGCTGCATTATTTTATATAAAAAAATAATATAGAAGGTCTCTTATTTTTATATATTTTTTTTTAAATTTGAATAATGAAAATCCTCCACACAAGCAAACCGGTATGTGAATGCAAGGTAATAAGGATGTTCTGCCTGTCAGTTCCTGGGTAGACTGCTCTACATCACTTCTTGATCTTGTTGATGAATCCAACAATCTTCCCTTCATAAACTTTGTCATCTATGTCCAAACATTTTTCATTGGTAAATGAATAAATTCCACCGAGATCTCAATAGTCGAAAGTATCAAAAGCACATTAAAATATTCTCTAGTACCTGCAAGAAGCCTGGAAATAACATTTAATCATAATCCTGAATCTATACAATTGCTATTTTCTTTTTCATGTAATTCCATTTTTTTGTGTATACTTATTTCTTTTATTATAAATATTAAGTATAGTGTATTTGTCTATCTACCTCTATGTTTTTTGTAAACTGTTGATTTCTTTTAATTTTTTAAGTTTAATTTATTTTTCTATGTCCTAATTTAGATGATATAATGATGTTGAGGCATATGTATTTATTTGATATTGTTGATGAAAATAAATTTGTATAGACTAATTATTTTATTTTAAACAAGTCTGCGAATGAGCAATTTTCACACAAAAATATATTAATTTGAGCTTTGCAGTGTTTATCCTCAGGCTAGGCTTTTAGTGATTTACTTTGGAGAGAGGGTTGGGATTTTAAATGACTATCATTTCCTTTAATTATAATAGTTAAATGGGGATATAATTGTCAAAAACATATCATGTTTAAAATAAAATTTATTAAAAACTACAACAGAACATAGCGAAGTACTACTGCCAGTAGCACGAGACCCTAATTAGCTAAAAAAAAGAAGTGGAAAAAAAAAAAAAAAGGGGGGGGGGGACGACACATACACTTTACGCTTCTATAGTAACTGTAGCTTTAGAAATATTTGATGATTGTTTTTTTAAAACTATAAATCCTAATAGACCTTAACACATTTTATTATTTTTACATATGGAGTATAAAGTCACATAAGTTACTAAATTTTGGGTTAATTAGTAAAAATGTGATTGTAAAGAGTGTCAGTATCGGTAGTACAAATTAGAGTTATTGACAGCCACTTTGGCACACAGAGGAAAAAAGTAAAAGATTTTTTTGCCCATATTTTCCATCTCAGCCCCCACACACATAGTAGCCCATATCCTTTTAGTATAAAGTTCAAATGTAACAACTTAAAATATCTACTGTTGAGAAATATATGGACTATAACTAAAACTGAGCCAGTATTGCATATAATTACTAATTTAAAAGTTTTAACTTAAACCTTACCAAATGTTCACCACACAGCTGTGCATAACAAAAAATATCACCTCCTCATGAAATTCGCATAACCGTGTAAAGAAGGGAATCCTCTTTACATAACTGATGAGGTAATCCATCTATTTATAAAAATTTCTGCTTTAAAAGGAAATTAACAAAAATCAAATGTCGAAAGCGTTTCAGAACAAGAAAACCTCTTTTTGTTTTACATGCACAGAACGGTGGGCAGTGAACTATAATAGTACCTACAAGGGGTAACTATATCTTTAGTATAAATAGTAGTATTTAATAAAGGCCAGTGATGGTTAAAGTGTGACGTTCCCAATACAAATAACATGATGGGAAGTACGCTAAGCATCCTAGGCAAAATTTGCTATGGGTAGAGCACAATCCTTCCATCAACACGTATTAGGGATGAATCTTTGTATGTAACCTAATAGCCGACAAAAAAAAACAAACCCAAAAAACTAGCTTTTAAAATAAAAAAAAATATATGAAAATGTGGGTTTGTCCTTTTTTATGGTTTAAATAACTATGAATGTGCCAGTACGGACTGCACCACCTCATTTTGATACCAAATTCAGTTATTATACTACATTTAGATTATTACCAGTAAAAAAAAATATTGTTTCTTTAATACTTGTTAATTTATTTATGCTTTTCTTGTAAATAAAAAAAAAATAAAAAAAGTGCATTTTATTCAGTAAATAACCTTAATAATGGGATCACCACAACAATAACAGAGTGCAAAGGTCAAGTGAATAACATACTAACTCAATGGTATTTGGTAAAAATAACAACCAATGAACGTTCATTATTCGAAGTGTCTACACGTCCGGCGCGCTGGACAAATAGTGCACAAGATATACGCCCGGCGGTATGTCACGTGACCGCCGACGGCTAGTAGTTTTTATAATTCCGAACGAAATCAGTTTGGCAGAACTTGTGTGGTCTAGTGGTAGAGTGGTTGCTTGACGATATTATGGTTTGAGGATCAATACTGGGGATAGGATCTTTTTTTTTTTCCATTTTAATGTCAAACATTTTATACTATATTTATATTATCATGTTCATCAGCAACAGTAGTTTCATGAGAAGTTTTTAAACATTTTGTAACGATTTAAAATGAAATCTTTTACTTTTATTGGTTGCCTACTACTCCACACTGGCCCCTAATTTATTTTATGGATTACTGGTGCACAAACTCAAAAAACAAACTAAACAAAAATGTTTACAAGCCACTTTCACTTAAGTTTTTTTCTATTATTTGCATTCAAGATACTCAGTACATTACTTGGTAGAGAAATAGATTTTAAAATTAACAATAGTTTTGAATTATTCACCGTCACGTGACAAGGCTGACCGACAAGATATCTCTCGCCACTTTGTTACGGCGGTCATGTGACTTGGTCGCCGGACGTGTAGACACTGCCTTCATTATTTACTCAGTTTCATTGATGTTCACCTTTTTGTTTTACATATCATTATTACATGCAGAATATCAGTATGATTTTACTGCCCATAAGCAAAACTTAATGCCACTGCAAAAATAAGCTCAGATATGGAATATTTGAGGATACCAAAGATGAAGAGAAACAGAGAGGAGAACAACGCACAGTCTCTGCTTTGTTTTTTGTTAAAACTGGTAATGCGCAGATACCAGATATTTCAATAGATATAATATAGTTATCTGGTGACAATGGCATGTTGTCTGCAAGAGGGTGGAAACAGGAAGTGTTGATAAATTGATTGTTGTGTGCATGCATATTGCCAAAATAACAAATTGAGATCTGAAAGGTCGCAATTATTTATAGGACTCAAATCTCCCCATCCAGTCACTTCATTTAATAAAATATGTAAGGCCATTTCATTTGTATTTCATTTACAAACGATTTTACCACTGAGTCCACTGTGTGTAGGCCTGCTATATAACTTAAGTAGCTCTAACTATCAACTAGCCTACACTGCTGACTGCTGTGTTACAAACAGTCAAACAGTAACTCTAAATCAAGTAGTAATACTAGTCATAGCCTCATGGCTGTAGCCTAAATCAAAATCAAATGCCAAGCTAGCGCTATTTGAGTAGTATTTTAGTGGACTTTACTTTAGTCTTTATTCCTTAGACTTAGTGACTTACTAAACCTGCTTACTTACTTGGTGAGGTGATCACCCGGTTTACCCATTAGTGGACTATATCATTATCATATGATCTGATCTATCTAATAAAGACTGCTCTTAATTTAACTAAATGGATGTCGACCTATATAAAATAACATTTAAAAATCGTATAATTTTAAGTCGTGAACTCTAAATGTTAACATTTAATGCCATTCAGACTTTATTAATCTGGTTTACCTTGCGAATACCCTTGTAAACATACACGTACAGTTCCCTGCCAACGTTGAAACACAAACGATCAGGCGATGATGTGCCGTCATTCACATCCACGAAAGACACTTTGACTGGCGTATTTGCTTGCCCATTAAATCCAACGCGACTAGGTTTTGAATACTCTGATTGGGGCATTAGTTTATAGGATCCTTCACGAATAACAAAATGTGTTTTTATATCATCTTTACCCCCACCCTCACTCTGTGCAGCCATGTTGAAATTAACTAACTTCCCGATGATGCCCGGATATTTTCCTTTTCGCGCATGTACCTGTGTCGGTTCCTGTTATCAAACCAAAACAAACAAAATTCACTTTCGTTTGTTCGTTGAAGACAGAAATTTTAACTTGAAATAAAATATTTAAAAACACATGCACATTTTTTTCCAATTTTGTTCATTTTATTTTAAATGTCTTTCGAACTTAAAATTTGTAAAAAGTCTTCTAATTCCAGCATTCTGACAAACTCATTAATTTAGTTTATGGCCGGAACTACGTTTATCGCGGCGGTAAACTGAATACACCAACGGCTGCGTTTACTGAGTGTCAAAAGTGGAGAAAGATTTGTTAATTACCTGTTAAATTAGTTTTAAGATAGGAGTAGAAAGATAAGCAAGTTGTCATGACACTAAAAAATTTCTTTATTTCTCAGATTTTTTTTTAATGCTATTGATAATTTGCCCAATCAACCATTTAAAAAAAAAAATCTCATTTAAAATACAACCGTATAATATACAACGCATTCCTTCTAGAAGTGTCTGGTAGTTTACATGAACTTTTCTTGCATCTGCTTCCTCTAATCGAGGGCAAAATTGCAGCCGGGATAGAGTGTACTTACGTCGTTGATGGATTGACATCGTTACCACAACAGCAGGTGTGAATCTAAGGGTCATGAGGGGCACCACTCTTGTGGCACCTTAATGAGTGACTAATCGGATTTAGTTTTTTAAATTATTATTTTTAGATTTTATTTGAATTTTTAGGGATGAAGAAAATCTTTATAGCAATACTATATCATATGTACCTGTATTATGATAATAAACCATTGTTTCCCTGTTAAGTACCAGTAAATCAACTAGTTGTACAATAAGGGCATTATCATTAAATAAGTAATTTATCTGAAGAACGTTATAGTATTAGTAATTTGAAATTCCAAATAAACCTTTCAATTTATTGAATTTTGGGGATTTTTAAATCCTTTATTTTAACTTTAAGGTGACGGACTGGCAAATCTTCGGATGGCTCATTGACCCACTTCCCTTCAACTTATCAAGCTGAAACTTGCCACATAGCCTCGTTGCAGATGATAACACATTCTCTCATAAATTATACATTTAAGTAGTGTTTTTTTTTTTAAAGTTTGAATTAAAAATTATAATACAACATTAAAAATTAGAAACAACTAAAAATAAAGTATTTGTGTAACCACAACCAAGTCAAGGGAACCTAATTTTCCACAAGCATCTCTTCTATTGCTCACTGATTGAGTTGAAGCTAAATTAAGGTATGCGCCAAAATGCACCAGTGCAATTTGAATTTATCCTCACACAAAATTTTGGAGGGGCTCAGTGAGCCCTCTCCCCAAGCCTCATCTCTTGTTTTTTTCGGGAGCCTTTACTGCCCTCGATTTCTTCTCCTTTCCCCAAAAAAGTGACAGTATCCACACCTTTTTATCTTTAAAAAAGCACTTTATTTTAGAAATTTAAATAATATACTTTTATTTGAAATGTATGATTTTCCTTAAGTTTGTTACTATATATGTATATTCCAGAAAGATAAGTTGAGTTTCAAAGTATACCCACAGGGGGTGCTACTACCGGAATTAAATTGTTATTATTTATGGTGAGAGTACGAGAGTCAGAGCTGGTCATAGCTGACAGTATGCATAATTTTAATGCTTTATAGATCCTCCCTCTCTTTTCGAACGTCTGAAAAGTCCCCCCCCCCAACCAATGAAATTGTCTGAAAGAAATACTGACCTCACACTGCAAGGGCCAACATGAGCCCAAAAAGCTTTTCATAACATTACTTTAAAAGGTAGTCAGAGCTGGTCATAGCTGACAGTATGCATAATTTTAATGCTTTATAGATCCTCCCTCTCTTTTCGAACGTCTGAAAAGTCCACCCCCCCCCAACCAATGAAATTGTCTGAAAGAAATACTGAACTCATAGTGCAAGGGCCAACATGAGCCCAAAAAGCTTTTCATAACATTACTTTAAAAGGTAAGAGACGAATAGGGCCCTCAGTGCATTACTTTCCCATGGATCCCTGTTGCCGTTAAGACAGCCCTGATCCCGCCCAAGGCATAAAGGTTAGGATGACCACAGAAAAAAAATCGCCTGGCCTCTAGACCAAGGGTCGGCAACCTTTTGGTGATATAGTGCCAAAGTAAGATTTCTGATTCATTCAACGTGGCAACAATCAATAAGTCGACCATATCAGTATCAGACTCATGTTTCAGTCATCTCTTATATATTTTTTTGTTTCTGGTATGTCCTGCTTCCTCTTCACAACAGGCCCTCCCCCAAATCAACATGTTTTATATTAATGGTACTGAGTGAGAAGAAAAAAGAACTTTCACGCAGCGAGCTTTCATTCGGGATGTCTGAACTCCGTTCAGGTTGATTTTTTTTTCTTTAGGGGGAACCGACTAGTCTATTAATCAGTAAAGAGCCACGGTTATGGTGTAAGAATCTCTTTAGGACTGTCCGTAGAACTGTTGTTAAAGGCCGCCATGTGGGGTGTACGACTATCTGTAGGCCTGTTGTTTAAAGGTACCCAGCCTTTCGGAAAACAGCCTAATCTTTTTTTTTCTTTTTTTTTTTTTTTTGGGGGGGGGGGGGGGGGGGCAAAAATTTT